AACATCGTCTGAGTCACTAAATTATCAGGTCCAAAGGAAAGTGAAGCAGGCATTCCCATGAAACAAAAGACTCTTCAAAGTGGTTGGCTCTATTCGAAACGGTGAGTGTAACAGAGACAACACTATGCTATTATGCAGATAATCTCAAAACAATCTCTCAATCTTCTTGCATGCGAGTTTTATAGAAATTTGTTGTAGGTCTTTTTTGTCAAAGAAAACTGGAGGGAGATTTGGTTTTACTGTGTGGCTGCCTGGCTGGCTGTTCCTATCGTTTCACTCACCACCAACCAGCAGCAAGGCAGCCAGACGTCATTCAAGCAACCACAACACAACAACCAACCAGCCCACCAACCACAAACATAACGCAACGCCGCCACCGCCAATCATGTGTGTTGTGTAGTGTCGAAATCGTCGTCATTCAAGTCACTTCCATCCAGGCAACCAGAAATTTCAGTTAGCTGCCCGTGGGAGACATTTTGTTTGATAATTTTCAATGTGTTTTGAATTGAATCAAAAAAGATATATTTCGTCGAACATCACAACACAGTGGTTAGGGAAGATTTGTATAAAACGACAGTGGTTCACAGATATTTTTCAAGCGGCACAATTAAATGGAAAATATTCAGATGCACTTGGATTTTGTCATAATTTTTATAGATTTTATCATACGACGTCTATCGGAGGTTGCTATGATATGCATTTTTCAACAACTTTTTTACATTCAATAATTTTTCATTCGAAAATTTCAATTTCAAAATTGATTTGACGGTTCATTGTCCCACCAATTCCATAGCGTATGGTGGTATAAGTTTGTCATTGAAATATACAGTCTGTCAGTCCGTCTGTGGAAATCACTCCAGCTTCCGAACGAATTGAAGTAGGTTGATAAAATTTTACTCAAATGTTTGTTTCATCTGCAGGACTTTTAGTATTGAAAATGGGACATGTAGGTCGACGTATATTTATAGCCCCCATATAACTGTGCCTCCCTATATTCAGTATTTTGATGATTTAAGCGACACTATTCACCGGAATCGTTTCAATTTTCGTATTTGAAGTTCGTATTGGATACTACAGCCTATGCCAGAAAATTGTCTATGCAGGACCACGTCTTCGTATAGACCTCATATAACTGTACCTCCCCATATTCGGTATTTTGATGATTTTACCGACATTATTTGCCATAACTTTTTCAAATTTCGTATTTGAAGTTCCTGACAGATGCTACAACCTATAACAGAAAATTGTCTATGCAGGCCCAGGTCTTCGTAGAGACCTCATATAACTGTACTTCCCTATATATGGTATTTTGATGATTTCAGCGACACTATTCACCGGAATCGTTTCAAATTTTGCATTTGAAGTTCGTAATGGGTACCGAAATCTATGACAGAAAATTGTCGATGCAGGTCCAGGCCTTCGTATGGACCTTATATAACTTTACCTCCGATATTCGGTGTTTTGCTGATTTCAGCGACGCTATTCACCGGAATCGTTTCAAATTTCGCATTTGAATTTCATAATTAGTGCTATAGCCTATGACACAAAATTCTGTATGCAGGTTCAGGTCTTCGTATAGCCCTTGAATATAGGTACCTCCCTATATTCGGCATTTTTATGATCTTAGCTAAATTATTCTCCGGAATTGTTTCAAATTTCGTATCCGCATTTCGATATGGGCACTACAGCCTGTGACAGAAAATTGCCGTCTTCGTATGGACCCCAAAATACTCCCTATATTCGATATTTTTAAGAATTTTTAATGGAATCTTTTTTTTATTTATTCTATATTCTGTTGTTTTTTTTTTAGATGGAGGACCCATTTGGATGACCAGTAAATCTCTTTATGATCTATACGGGCAAGGGCATCTGATTTTTAAGCCTTTTCCTAGATTCCATACTCCTTGTTAAAACCCACTTTACCGTCTATCACACACACCACCCATTTGCTTCCTTTCTGCCCTTTCTGTCTTTGCCCTAAAAAACAACCCGACTGAATGCGATTGCGATTTTAAAAAATTCACATTTTTATACGTTAGGAGCGCATCTTTTGCGGCAGATGTTGGCGCATTTTTGACATAATTGTATAAAAGACACCCCCATTCGACAAATAAAAGTGTTTGGAATGCTTCGCATAACAGTCATACCAAACAATAAACAAAAGCTATCATGAAGAGGCATGCATGATGGTGGTGGTGCTGCCACCCAAAACACAAACAAGGGAAAGTGCGCAGAATCCACTTTTTTTCCCAAAAATGAAAAAAAAAACACTTTCTGTAGTAGTGGTGGTGCTGGCCAGGCCGCTTGGTTAATCAATGTCAGCCAGCCAACCAGCCAAGTGTCCACCTCCCCTTCTGGATGGAATTTTTGTCGCCTGTTTAAAAATTCACATATGGCTACTTTTGCATGGGCCTGCCGAAACGGTTGACATTCCAAAATCCAAGGAATAAAAAACATGTAGTGGTCCTCTTGGTTCGAACTGGCAACTCGTTCATTCTCATGTGTGGTTGCCGGTGGTGTGTGCTTGTTTGTTGTTGTTGGGATTCGATAACACTTTCGTTTTTCTTGTTCCTCCAACGGCTGGCCGTTAATCAGGTGCTCAAAAGCGTGTAGCAAGTGGATTTTAAGGCAACGCAATAGAATTGTTTCTGCTTGAAATATTACAGATTTGTTGCTGTAACAACAGGTGCAAGAGAGAGAGAGAGCAGAAGAGAGAGATCAAAACACCACAAAGGGGGTGGTTATTTGGGTAAGCGAGAAACATTTGTCATTTATTGTTGCTGGCCGTGTGAGTAGTACAATAATTGTTATTATAGATTATTTATTAATTTTTTAACAACAATAAATTAATATTTATTTATTCCATAATTTGTCATTTCTACATGAATTTCCGTAAATTTCAACGGCGCCATCCAAGTAGAGTAACGCCGTTGTTTCTTTGTGGCTGTGACATCTCATCTGTCAAGCCGTCAAATGGCATTAATCTCCTTGATATGAATGTTTGAACAATTGAAAATAGTAGATAGGTAACTTATTTTTGTTTTTATTGAAAACACATGAAAACATTTTGTTTCAAGACCCATGTGTTCCACTTTTTCTAGAAGAAACTCATAAGATGCGAATTATATTTACGAAAAAACATAGCATGCATTACAAATTCCCCTAAAAACAGTGCCTTGACTCACCTTCAGACCATATTTGTTACTAGGGGCGTTCATCATTTTTTCGCATTAAAAAGAGCGTTTACTTCTTTGCGGAACTGCTGCTGCTGCTGCCACCCAACAACAAACAACATTCATTCGTTTGCAATGGCAATGTCCTTGTATAAAAAACGGTTTTTAATCATGGGATCTCAGAAATCTATAGCACCGCAATACCATAATAATTGGTATAACAATTATTCATTTCTGGCAAAAATCATACAATAAAATAATAACAAAAATGCCTCGTTACTTGTCCAATTATTATATTCTGCTTAAATTTCACTTGAGTAAGAAAGAAATGACAATATGTAGCAGTTCTACGTTTTATATTTATCAGTGTCTGAATTATAACAGTCATTGGCCAAAGTTTAATGGCAGTTCATGTACATTGGAAGATTAATGAAAAACTGCTGTACATAAAATCGTGTCAAACCTGGGCTACAGCGTCAATTCGATATAGTTATTTTAAAATTCAGTTAAAATATTAAAAATTCCGAATGTAATCGTTATATTAGGGTCTGCCTCTGTAACTTCTGTCATAAGCCATTACAATATTCAAATGCGAAACTTGAAAAAAAATCGGTGAATAGAATAAAATCATCAAAATACCGAATATAGGGAGTTAACATTATAGGAGAGCTATACGAAGGCGTGGACCTGCACAGACAATTTTCTTTCAGAGGCTGTATTATCCAATACGAACTTCTAATACCAAATTTGAAACATTTCCGGTGAATAATTTCGCTAAAATCCTCCAAACACCGAAAATCGGGAGGTACCGTTATATAAGGGCTATACCAAAACGTGGACCTGCACAGACAATTTTCTGTCATAGGCTGTAGTATCCATTACGAACTTTAAATGCCAAATTTGAAACATTTCCGGTGATTAATATAGCTTAAATCTGTAAAATACCGAATATCGGGAGGTACCATAATATGGGGGCTATTCCAAAACATCGACCTACATGGTTCATTTTCAATAACAAAAGTCCTGCAGACACTATATACAATTTTTATCAACTTACTTCATTTCGTTCGGAAACTAGAGTGATTTCCACAAAGGGACAGATGGACGGACATTGCTCGACATAGAATTTTATGCTGATCAAGAATATATATACTTTGTAGTGTCTAAAATGTATATTTCGATGTTACAAACGGAATGACAAAATTTAATATAACCTCCATACTATGGAGCAGGGTATAAAAACTACTGAACACGTCATTGCAAATTTGCTAGGAAGCGTTCTAAACATATGATTGTCAAAACTAAAAATTCGTTGAAAGGTGACGAAGTCTGGAGAGGAACACTTTATGGTATACGATACTTCCTAATTCGGTGTTTCTGAGGGTTTTGGGCCTCGATATCTAACCATATTAACTGAAATTTTATGTTTCGGGCTCCTTGTAGCTAGATTTACTCATCTTGAAAAATAATAAATATATGTATTAGCCAATATAATGGAACTTTCAAATCTCAGGTATTTAATGGATAGCAAATTTGGCCACAAGTTTTCATATAGAAGAGGGCATAAAAGTTCGTATGTTCCTAATTCAAACCTATAATTCAAACGTCTTAATAATTACACCAACACTGTTCACTGAACAGCTGTCACCGCCTTTTTCTTTTTCTCTCATGCGCATTTCTCAATGCCATTTTGCATTTGTCTCTATTACTCTCAACCTGTTTGGTATTTGACATGCCACACTCTCCGCCCTCTTCAACCAACTTCCTATGTTTACAAATCATTCACACACACACGCACACGCATTATTTGTTCTTGTCATTTATATGGCCGAGTGACTGGTTGGCTGGGCGATGTGGTGTCGTTTTTTGCATTTTATTATCTCCCATCACATAACCTCACAATATTTTGGCGGGCGTTGCTCTACAGAAATTATAGCTGTTATATTTATTTTTATAAATAAAGAAGTGGCCGCCGGCTGGCTGAATGGTTGAAAAGAATTTAATCTCGTTGGTGGTGTTAATTTTTAATTAGGAAAAACAACAACACCACATACACTGGCAAACACAAGAAGACAGGCCCCTTTCTGCTGCTAACAACAGCGCCATAAGAGCAACAGCCAAAGAAGGGAGGTTCGTTCATTGCTAAGTGAAATTGTGTGTAGAATTTTGGTTGCTTTACTTTCTTCGCATTTTTGAGCGCCCAATACATCAGCAACAGGGAAAGGCCCTGAAATTTCGAATATTGTTCGTCGTCATTCTTCGTTTTTGTTTGATATGAATGATGTTGGGCGACTCGTGTTGCTTCGTGGAACAAAAGACTCCGTCAACAATGCTGCAATGGGTGTTGATGAGTTGCAATGTTCCGACATCACTCATCACTTGAGATGTTCGATTGATTTAAATGAATCAGGAGATTTTGAGTGATTTTCTGCAAAAATGAATTTTTGTTTCATTACTTGATTACTCGTCCGCCATACGGCAGTAGTGGAATGGAGTCTCCTCATTCAACAATATTTGCGGTAAGTTTTTGTTTCATTTTCCGTTGTTCGTCAAATTTTTAATTAATTTTTGTTGCTATACCCTTAGTCAAGATATATATTTTGCACCTCTTGTGTTCAGCCATTGCATGCAGTGTCGTTACCTACCCATTCCCAAGCGATGTTTGTGGGCTGTTTGCTCTGGTTTTTGAGACACGCCAGGCAGGCATGCATATTCAAGACCACTTTTGCCAATTAGTGAATTTTGTTGAAAGCTGAGACAACAACAACAGCAACACCAACAACAAAATGCAATCAACAACGTTTCTTCATTAGCAAAATAAATCCGACGAGATCAACCTACGCTTTTGCCATTGCCGCTTCTTCGAACCTAGTACATAAACATCTTCTTAATTAAAATCCTGACACAACACATGCCATCCGCCCGTCGTTAAACAAGCTCACAAACCCCGGCAATTTGACTAATGAATGCCCTGCGGTAAGGTTGGGCAACAACCATCAACCCTCTCTCTCTGTTTCCCTCATCGTGCGACGACAACAAGGAATCCAATTTATTTTACTGCCACAAACGAAAGAAGTGTTGTAGTTGGGTGCATGGGATGGTTGAATGGCGATGGATGGGTTGGTGCACAGAACTTAATTGCTTAATTGTTACAATGTAGCTATTGTTGTTGTTTTTGCTTCTGCTGGGGGGGTTTGTGTTAATTTATGTGTGCGCATGTAACAGAAAAACACCTCCTCCACGTACAACTCCCAACAATGTGATATGAATGAAACACGCACATCCGGACGAGGGTGTTGCAGAAAAATATTCATGGTCACACACACATACACACCAACTGTGTCATCTTTTAAACACCTCCCACCCCGATTTAAAGTAACACATTTTTCTGAATTGTTTTAAAGTCCATTAAGGAAATAAGTCAAGCTGCCGGTCATCCATGCAGCCTTCTCTTTCTAAATTCCATCAAACCACCAATAAGACTATTTTTATAACTCACACCCACCCACCTGCCAAACTATGCTGCCATAAAGCCGGTCAAGCCTCTTTGTGCCTGCAAGGAAGGAAAGAAAGTAAAGAAAGAAAATATGTGGCCAATCTTTATTCTTAGTTTGTTTGATGGTGTTTTTCCTTCGGCCGACCAGCCTATGTCGTCTTAGGAGAAAACTAAAAGAAAACACACCCATTATTCAAGTGTTTGCTATTTTATAGGGTGGTGGATCCCAAGGAAACAAATTCCTTAAAGATTCCACAACAGTGGCCTATATTTTTAAAAAGAAAAGAATTGTGAGGGGTGTGTTCAGGTGAGCGGCCTTGTCGTCTCAACAAAATGAGTGCACATTCAATCAAAGAGAGAGAGGATTAACTGTCACCGGGTTATATGCTGCAAGTTAGATCATGCGTTAAGCTGGCTGGCCACACATCAAATTTTCAAGTCTAACTTTTAAATCAGGTACTGAATTGTGCAGTGAAAAGTAGACGGGAAGTAAAAAATTGCTAACTAATTTTGAAGACACCAAGAAGACAAATTAGTGGAAAAAAGAGGAAATGTCAAAAATTGTCTTTATTAATTGTTTTTAGAAAATGGTTGACAGCGACAAAAATTGTAAAGCCAGTGGTAGTGAAATGCAACCCTTACTCAAGACAATTTTTCATGCTTTCACTTCACGTTAAAGTAACTTATAATACGTTTACATTATATTGGATTTAGTAAATCCAGCGGATTTAAATTGTCATTCCTATCATTTACACGTCAAATAAATCCCCATATTGGTGGTCAACCCGGTAAAAATCTCTAATGTAAATGCATTATTACATTTTAAATCCGCCCCCACGAATTGAACTCTATGAATTTCAAAAAACTTGCTGGCAAAAGTCATTGAGAGTATGTCAAACCCCTCACTATTGCATACGCCTCTGTGCAATACAAACGAATGAACGTATTTTGCGTAGCCTAGCCTTTCTTGGCCTATCCCTTTTTACCCTCCTCCCAATAGGCAACAATGATTCAATTTTACCAAAGAACAAACCCACCACAACATGTATTTCATTCATTCATTTGTTGAGTGAGAGTATCGTTTTTGTGTTTGTTTGTTTTCCGGGTAGACAGACCAGACCCGACCGTCCGTCCGCCCGTCAGTTAGATGATGGTGATGGTGTTTAACTTGAACATGTACAATAATCATTTTTATTCAGCCAGCCAGTAGTCAGCGTCGTCATCTCCATTCTCCACCAGCAAATGGAAAATAATAAAATTTGTGAAATCCAACCTTGCCGGCGGAACAAACACACCCAAGGTCGCCGGCACCACCACGCCCTAGATACGCCTCAAATTCATCAAATGTAACAGGAACCCAGAATTATGAGCACTTGCCGCTGCTGGAGAGAGTTCTTGTGCTCAAACAACAATCACCATCATCACCAACAATGTTCACGGCAGCCTCGCCTTCAAATGGCTGTGAGAGAAGATGGTTGCTGCTGGTTGGTTCTCTTTGTTTTATTTGTTGCTTTTGGCTCAGCTGATAGAATGTCAGTTGAGTAGTGAGTGTGGTAGTTGTGTTGTTTGTATGCCTGCCTGCCTGCCAGATTGTCACGAACTGTGTGAGTGTTGCCTCCCCCTGCATGTTTGAAGAGTTTGTGAATTTGATTTGGCTGTTTGGCCAGCTAGGTGAGGGTGTGTTTTTATTGTTTTTGCTTTGTTTTACTTTGCTCTTTAAAGCTACACCCTACACTGTGTGTGTTTGATTAGCGGTGGGTGGCGTTTCGAGCAATACACGAGATACCATATAACAGTGTATAGTCGCCCGTGAAATACAGTCAAGTCCCGATAATTTCAACGCTTAGGGAAAAGCCGATACATATTAAGAAATTTGCGAGTACTAAATGTAGAACTGTCCAATTATTATTTAAATGGATTACGTGAAATTTATTAAGAGATTCTATAAAATTCGTAAATAATCGATAACGGAATGGGTGCTTTCCCAGTTTTTTAGGCAAGCGCAAAAGGCTTAGTCATTGAGAAATTTTGGACAAAAATCCACATCCACATCCATACATTTAATTTTTAAAATTCCTCGGCTAGATCAAAACGAGATTTTTGTTATTCTGTCCCAGCATCTAGCAAAACAACAGTTTTTCAACTTTTTTAGATAAAGTTTTAAAACTTTTTTTGTTTTTATTTTGAAAATTGCTCACAGAAAAAAGCAAGGTCAAATTGAAATATTTTACCCCATGGTTGAATATGGATGTGTATTTGTGTAACCTGAGTTTGATATTTGTAAAAATATTAGTTTTGTGTAATTCATGCGAATTACTTGTGAGTATACCTTGGAGAAGTACCCAAGCACCATTCTGTGAAGGTAACCTAACCCCATTACAAACACAAATGATTTGTTGTTTTATTAAATTTTACTTTTTTATTATTTTTCTTACTTCAATGATATTCATCATCATCGTCTTCCTCCGAATTATTACTTCTGTCACGAACATCCCTTCTCCTATTGCCACCCTTATCCCGCTTCGACGATGATGTATCGTCGTTGGATCTCTTCTTTCTTTCGTCACCATCTCCAGTTTGCAAGCCATCCGACCATTTGCCTCGTGGTGCATCCGAATAAGAACTTGGATCCATGGGATCAACAATATCAGCATCATCACGTTGGCGACGCCTCGAATCATGGCTACTAGAATAACGATCACGATCTCTATCCCTTTCACGATCCCGTTCACGTTCTCTATCGCGATCACTCCGATCTCTATCGCTGCGATCTCGATCTCTACGCTGTCGACCAACACGATCTAAATCGCGTGATTTTTGTTTGCGTGGCAGTGGAACCGATGGACTATCTGCCACCTCTTGCAGGCTGGGAAATTCGTGTGCATCTACGGAGCGTGGCGATTTTGAACGCATTGAGGCATTGATTATTTCATCAACCTCCCGGTGATGGCGAGATTGAGCAGATTCTCTTGTATTGCCATCTGCATCATTGTCACTTTGTTCATCGCCATCACTGTCGGCCCCGGTACCTCCATCCCCAGTGGATTCTTCCATTTGTTTTCGAACTGCAGCAGCACATTTTGTGACTTCCGATTTGGGATGTGTTGGTGGAAGCCACGACACAACATTGTCAGCTTCACATGCAAAATAATAACAACCACAGCCGGGATCATACATTTCAATCCAACCCTTGGGTAGTGGATATTTGCGTATCAATCTTTTGTAGCGTTTCATATATTCGGGCGATGGACGTGGAATGCCTTCGGACCACCGATTTACACAATACACGGTACATTTATGCCAAATATTGTATTTATTAGGACAGCAACGATAGCCGGCCGCCGAGTTAGCCTCACCCATGCGTGTTTTCATTTGTGCCAACCAATTGTTTTCCTCCACAGGTTTACGCACCGTATCATGATCCAAGTCATATTGTGAAGGATATTGATAGTCATCTGAGTTGTGTCCTGGCCCTTGATCCGTATCCATTTCATCGTAATCTTCAGCAATGACTTCTTCATTGTCAGCTGCATGAGAAGGTGGTACGGGAGGTTCTGAAAAAATGAAAGCCACCCGGTAAGATGGATTGTTATGTTCATCAAATGTATGTATGCTTACCATTTTCCTTTTGGGACTTTTGTTTATTAACCAGACCACGTTGAGCCAATCTGGCCAAGAGGGCAGGAGGTAAACTCATTTTTTTTATTTTTACTTATCTGTTTATATTTTTGTTTTAGATCGGGTATAAAGCGAGACAGTCAATGCAAAAGATGCAAGGGATCTGGAAATCGAAAACTTCTTTTTAAAGAGCTCTAGAAGATCGGAAATGTTTTTTTTTTTCAGCCAACAAAAGTCAACTAGATTTTCATTTTCATCTACATTTTCAAGTGTCGAATGTTGTAATGACCCAAGTATAAGGCACCCTTCCAAGCATGGTAGAAGAATATAGGTAGACGCATCGACACAGCTGCTTGGACAATGAACTGTCAAACCAATTTTGGAATTGAAAATGTTGAATGAAAAATTATTTAAATTTGTATAAAATTGTAGAAAAACGCGAATTATAATAGCCTCCGAATGACGTAGTATAAGAAAGTATATAAAAATCTACTTATATTTGAAAAAACATTAAATTTTTTTGGCATATAAATGCTCCCAAGCGTTGATGCATCTACCTATATTCTTCTGCCATGCTTCCAAGCCAAAATATAAACAACAGGTTAAGAAGTGTAAACAAATGTTGACATTACATTAGATTTTAAAAATTTGCAGGAACACCTTGTTATTGCGCCATGTAATGGCCTATATGATACTGATTTTAAAAGTGAGGAAAAATATTGAATAAATGAAAACAACTTGTTGAATGCAAATTTGACAAGAAGCGGGCATAGCCTCAGGGCTGTAATTCTGTAGTTTTACGAAGCTGTTCTACCTCCTTATTGTACCATGGTCCAAAGGTTTGTATGATATGTGATTTTCAACAAATTTCACTAATTGTAATAATTTTTATTTAAAATTTAGAATTCCTAAAAATGTTGTGACAGCTCACTGTACCGGCAGCTGTGTTCATGCGTCTACCTATATCTTTCTATCATGGCATCTACCAATGTTATCGTGAAAATAGAATACCAGGAAAAAATATTGTCCATACCCATGACTCAATCAAAAATTTTGCTCAACTTCAAGAAACTAGGAAAAATGCAACTATGTACCAGAGTCTTAAGGTGCAAGTACATAAAAAGCAGAATGTTAAAAAAAAAACTTAACGCGCTTCACACCCTTTAAGTCCCATATATAACGCCTACGAATAGAAGACGGTGGGATTCCCACTCAGATTTCGTAACCCAATGCGTCACACTGGATAAGGAACTTTCTCACGAGTACGACTCGGGCTTAAACGAGGATAAGTCTTAAACGATTCCATAGCGTCGGAGTTTATAGCAATCTTTTGTCCCTTTTTGAGGGTATTGGTTAGAAATGTGGATATTGGGACGAAATTCTTGATGAACCGTTGATACCATCCGGCAATCTCCAGGATGCTTCTTACATTAAATTATTATTTTTTTAATATATAAAACAGAATTTTAATTCCTATAGCGGTTAAAATGAATTTAATTTTTTTATTTGTTCCAGAAATCATATGATCTGTTAAGGTTTGGTAGGCTGAATGTGGGCTGTGACTTCCGCCAAGCATCCTTGTCTCCGGTGTATGTAGTGTTTGTATTCTTGTTTATTTTGATGTTCTTTTATTCTGTTCCGTTTTTAATTGCTAGGTCCCTTGGACGGATGGTGTCTGGGTTGGGACCGAAGAAATCCACATCGTACGCCACCCAGATCTCCGACGAGAGTTCTTTATCCAGTGTGACGCATTGAAGTACGGAATCGGTGCAGTATTATTCCAAAAGGATGAAGACGGCGGTGGGAATCCCATCGTCTTCTATTCATAGGCGATATAGGACTTAAAGGGTGAAGATTGGATGGGCTGTGACTTCCGCCAAGCATCCTTGTCACCGGTGTATGTAGTGTATGTATTTTTGTTTATTTTGGACTGATGGTGTCTGGGTTGGGACCTACCTTAGAGGAAAAAGCCCCCCAAGTTAGCTGGATACCCACCACAGTGCCAGAAAGCTGGTATCATAATACATATTGAAAAAAGTCGCGTGTCATGCAACGCATAACGCGTTCACTCAGCATTCCTATCGTGGCGTATGTTCAGTGAATGCTGCATTTTACTGTTATACCATAATTTTTAAACACGTTATTCGCCTTGACATATACCAAGGTAGATGTACTAGGTAATCGCATCAGCCCAGCTGACGGCACCATTAAATGTCAAAACGAATTGTTGTAATGAAGAATTCGCCCTAAATGAATGCAACAACAAATTTGTTTATGTTGTCTTCCCTAAAAGTACCTTTTTATAATATTTCAAATAATTTAAGAGTAAGTTAAGAGTGAAACCAGTAAAAAATTTAAAGAACATGAAGGAAGGAGGTTAGAATGGAGTGCAGCTTTAAGAATTAAGTTAGCCTCAACATCTAAGATTCCCAAAGCACATCACGGGAAGTAGTGCAAGAATTAGACTCTTGTCATTTGCAGTTCCGGAAAACTTTCGGTTTAAACCAGTAAAATATAGTCATTATAAGTTTCTTTGTTTAAAAAATATCGCAATACTACAATTAATACTTATTTTACTCTTATTTGTTTTACAATAAAAACTTTTATTGCGACGTTCGTTTACGACGAGAGGGACACAAAATAAAATGTAAACAAACACCTCGTTTCTGATTGGTTGAAACAAATTTGCCGCAACTTTTAAATGTCATGGCGAATCTATGTTTTTCGCCTTAGATGCCAATTTTGACATTTGAGGGGACCACAAAAGTTGCTTTGTTGTAGCAATTCGCCGATGCGGTTACCTGTTAGATCTACCTTGACATATACAGTGTTTTTTTCGCCTTAGATGCCAATGTGTGTGTTCGTAGACATGTGCTTTTTCAATGGCCGTCGAATTTTCTCATTTGGTGTCGAGTCGTCGAGGAATTCAGATAGTGAGTATTCCCATCGAATTCGCTGAGTTGGCAAAAGGCTCTGGGGGGGTTAATTTCCTGACATGTGCACAGCATATTTTTCACCTTTTGTGCATGGCGGAGCAGACGAAATTAATGCCATATTTTTTCGTGTTTTTATTTACATTGCGTTTTTGTTGTTTTGTAGGACCAGCATCCATTCGCCACAAAACGTTAAGTAACACGAAAATAACTCTGTAATTATCCATCCGGTGGCCGGAATATAGATATTCTACAGAGCAAACACCTTTTGTTGTTCTTCCCAAACGTCGTAATTACGTCTTTGGGATAAATTTTGTGTGCCAAAAGAAAATATTCCATTATACATACAGACAACAGACAGTGCAATCACCTGAAGGTATCGAAGAAAATGTCAGCGACCGTTGTGCCCACAAATGGTTTTAAATCCGTCAATGGTAACGGTGTTGCAGAAGATGAACTCCAGGATGGTCTGTCGTGCCAAGAATTGTTTGCCAGCACAGAAGGCTTGACTTACAAGTAAGTATTGCATGGCCTCCACAAGGTAGCAGCAGGAGAAAAAAAACCTGTTTTCCTGTGGCGGTGCTGGTGTGTGATAATGATGTTGTTGTTGTTATTGTATCTTCTAATGTTTACATTTCTCTACTTTTTATCTAGTGACTTTCTTATACTGCCCGGTTATATTGATTTCACTGCCGAAGAAGTTGATTTGAGCTCACCTCTAACCAAAAAGATTAGGCTGCGTGCTCCCTTGGTGTCGTCGCCTATGGACACGGTTACAGAATCGGATATGGCTATTGCTATGGCGGTATGTATAAAAAAAACCAATAAACATATGAGATTTTTTTTTGTAAATACTGTTCGAGATAAGATAGGAAAATTATGGGGTCTAAAAAAATCAACCACCACATTTTTTTCACAAATGGATTAGCAATTTGTAATATTAACGGTCCATAAGGGTTAGCATATTACAATGACGTCATAGATTTCAAAAGCTTTTATCAGAAAAAATAAAAAAATAGTTCCATATTGTATTGTGTTTGGAAAATAAAAATGTTGGTTTGCTCCCTTAAAATTTTCGATTTGTAGAATCGGAATTTTAGTGATCTCTGTTGCTATAAATCAATTTTTGTAGGTATTTAATATTTTGAAAAAATATAATTAAAAAAATATATATTTACCAAAGACAAGGAAATGTTTGGTAGACTGCAAGAATAATAGAAATTGTTTTGTGTCCCAAGTTCACGATTCAAATCGATTCATTGTTTCCCATTTATCCAGACTTCCCCTTAAGTTTCACGGAGGAAGCACTTTATTTGCCCAATTTTAAGATTTTTCAAAAAAAAAAAAAAAAAAAAAAGTAAAATAATAAATAAATAAATAAAAAATATCAATTTTCTAACCCAACTTACCCCCGATTCGAATTTTATTTTATGAATCTCTTCTTTTTTTCCAGTTGGGTGGCGGTATTGGTATTTTGCATCACAATTGTACGCCCGAATACCAAGCCAATGAGGTGCACAAGGTTAAAAAATATAAACATGGCTTTATACGTGACCCTTCGGTAATGTCGCCCGAAAACACAGTTGGTGATGTTTTGGAGGCTAGACGTAAGAATGGCTTCACCGGCTACCCAATCACAGCCAATGGCAAATTGGGTGGTAAATTACTGGGTATTGTGACGTCACGCGACATTGATTTTCGTGAAAATCAGCCTGAAATCAAATTGGGCACCATAATGACCACCGATCTAATAACAGCTCCCAATGGCATTAACCTACCCATGGCTAATGACATTTTGGAAAAGAGCAAAAAGGGTAAATTGCCCATTGTTAATGAGAACGGTGAATTGGTGGCCCTTATAGCTCGCACAGATTTGAAAAAGGCTCGCTCCTACCCGAATGCCTCAAAGGATAGCAATAAACAGTTGTTGGTTGGCGCTGCCATCGGTACCCGCCCCGAGGATAAGGATCGTCTGAAATTGCTAGTTGCTGCTGGTGTTGATGTCATTGTCTTGGACTCATCGCAGGGCAATTCGATTTATCAAATCGATATGATAAAATTCATCAAGAGCACCTATCCCGAATTGCAAGTCATTGGTGGAAATGGTAAGTGAAAGAAAGAAATCAATGAATTTTAAATTACACTTTTTTTTTAATATTTTCTACTTTGTTTTGAGAAGTCCACACTTCCCCATTCCATTTTTCAATTCAATTAATTGAGACATTCAATCATTTGAATGCATCGCAATCTTACAAATGCACACATCAACTAAATGCATGAATTAAAAACAAAGTATCAATGCCTCGGCTCTCAATGCAGATTAATATCTCAATATTATTTTCACTCTAGAAATTTCATAAAGAAAAAATAGAGTAGTGACATATGGTCTGTTCCAGAACTGCAAGAATGTAACAATAACCGATTTTCCCAAAATTACAAAACTAGTAGATGCTTGAAGGTTTTTCAAGGCGTTCTTCATTTTCATGCATTGAGATTATTAAGTATCATTTGTCGAGTGAATGTCGAGTCTCTCATTTCCTTACTGCGTTGTTCGCAATTTCTAATTTGTTGTCTTCCTTTAATGCAATGTGGTAGTTGTTATTGTTTTTTTTTTTGCCCTGAACATTGTTGTTGTCGTTATCATTTCCCACTCACATTCATTTAACCACATTATCATGTGCTTCTTTCTCTTTTCTTTTTCGAAAACATTTTACTTGCAGTTGTTACCCGTGCCCAGGCAAGAAATCTCATCGATGCTGGCGTTGATGCTTTGCGTGTTGGTATGGGCTCCGGTTCGATTTGCATTACCCAGGAAGTCATGGCATGTGGTTGTCCCCAGGCCACCGCCGTTTATCAAGTGGCATCCTATGCCAAACAGTTTGGAGTACCCATTATTGCCGATGGTGGTATTCAGTCTATTGGCCACATTGTCAAGGCTTTAAGTTTGGGTGCCAGTGCCGTTATGATGGGCTCTTTGTTGGCCGGTACTTCTGAGGCTCCTGGCGAATATTTCTTTTCGGATGGTGTGCGTCTTAAGAAATATCGTGGTATGGGCTCTCTGGAGGCCATGGAAAGACGCGATGCCAAGGGTGCTGCCATGTCCCGTTATTATCACAATGATATGGACAAACTGAAGGTGGCGCAGGGCGTGAGCGGCAGCATTGTTGACAAGGGCTCCGTTTTGCGTTACTTACCCTATCTGGAAGTGGGTTTGCAGCACAGTCTCCAAGATATCGGCAATCGTTCCATCGATGAGCTGCGTGCTTCTATCTACACCGGTAAATTGAGATTCATGAAACGTACCCATTCCGCTCAGGTGGAGGGTAATGTACATGGCCTGTTCTCCTATGAGAAGAGGCTGTTCTAACATTCACTGCCCTGCACTCAGGGGGCAACAAAGAAATCGAAAAACAACAGCAGCAGTGAGAACAATTTAATGGAATCGCCCAGCAGCAGCAGCAGCAGTCGGAATCTGGCAATGGGTGGTAACATTTACGGAACACATTTTAAACAGGATAAATTTCCCATTAAACGTAGTGCTTATTGAACAAAAAATTACAAAAACAAAGTACTTATCTTATTAACAATTGAAGCTAAACAACAACTCAGTTATATATTTATTAGATTAAAAATTAAATCTACCAGCTATACAACTTTGATTTGAGCGTACATTTTGGAATGATGATGTCAAAGCCTGTGCTCAACAACCAAGTGGAATTATTGTACTTATTATGATGATGACAAACCTCTGTTATAGTTCTATTTCTTTTTTTTTCCTAATTTAATAAGAATGCTGCTATTTTTCAAATTTCTTTGTGCGCTATTTTAACAAGTAAACAAAATCATGACTAAGACGTATAATTTTTTAAGCCACAATCTTCAATTTCCTAAACTTTTTTTTTGTTAGCAAGAAAAAGGGAACAAATCTCAAATTTAACATTGGCCCAAATCCTACATTCATTGCACCCTAACAAAACAATTCATTTGCCATAGATTTGGACGAAAATATTTCCCATTCATTTTGTATTTTTATTACCATATATTTTTTACAAATAAGTTTTTTTTTAGTTTTTTTTATCAGCTGTAGATGATTTAAGACAAAAAATATGAAAAACCATAGTTGATGTTGCCAATTTTTTTACTATTATTGTACAACCCCAGCCTATATATACCCAATTGTAATTGAATGTATAATGTTTACAATTTTAAAAATTCTATGTAATTACGGTACATGTGAGGAGTATACATACATACATATATAACTTTCTATATAAATAGTATTTAAACAAAAAAATATACCTACCTAAATAATGAAACACAATAAATATATATATTATTGGAAAATTTAAAAGGGTGTTTCTTTTTGATTGGTCGGAGGCTTAATACCTGGCTTACTTTATGTAGTTATTTGTAACCCCCTTAAAATGTGGGTTTCTATGACCACCACCTAAATATCGTCCAGGGTCTCTTTGTGTTATTATTTGTTTGCATTTCAGGGGCTTCTTCATATTTCTGTCAACGACACGCAAATAGCCAATTGTCTTCATTTTCAATTTCCATCAATTGGCTTCCAATAATTTTTTTATTTTATTACGTTGCTGTTGTTTTTTTTTTGCTGTGCTTTGCAAAAAAAAAAAATATGTATGTCATAAAAATGTAATTCCATCAATAAATTAAATGAAGCGCAATTGCTCGTTACTTTGTTTGGTGTCCATTGCATGCAAACATATCTATACCTTTGTGGGTCTATACAGTGTCTTTTGTTTTTTTTTTTTTTGTAAGTGTGACTTTCAATCGTTTTAAATAAAGGGGTTTGCTGTGAAGATCGACAATTATAAAAATTGGGTTAAATGTCATCGCATGGAAGGTGTATTTAGGTGACGAGAACATACAGGAGGAGATACAAAAAAAAAAAACTGCAACAAAGTTAAAAGCCATAATTTTGACATTTTTTTAGATTATATTGAATAAAAGCAAAGAATTTCGGAAATAGCATCAAATTTAAGAATAAGTTTAGATTTGTTCGAATTGGTTACCTTTGACACAAATTATGGCCTTGAAACTGTCACACGCTGCCCGAATTTTGTTCTGCGGTATTTTGGCCCATTCCCGGTGAAGCGCTTGCTTGAGGTGATCGACACTTTGGTATTTTTTAGTGCCAACCTTGCTTTCCAAAATATTCCAGACACAATAGTCCAACGCATTGGTATCCGGAGATTTTGGTGGCCATTGTGGGCTGGAAATGAAGCGAGGAACCTCATTTTGTAACCATTTTTGGGTGGCGCGTGTTGAGTCCTGTTGGAATGTCCAAGGCAGGCGCTTGAGTTCTGGTGGCCGGCCAACCGAAGGTGCACATTTTCGGTTGACTTCTTTGGCAAGTAAAAACGATCATTTTGTTTGTTTCCAAACTGCTGGACAACAAATGTTTTCTCATTGGAGAAAACCAAATTCGGCAGTTCTGGAGTGCTCTAACGATAGCCACTTGTGGTTTTCCAGTTAAATATAAAGAAATCACACTATCGCGCTTGAATTCCATCACGAATACGAACTTTTTTTCTGGAAAATTCTCACCGAAATGCTTTTGTACGCTTGTAAACAATATGATGAGCTGGAATAATTTCAACAGCTGTCGGACGAGTGGCTTAGAAATGACAACAGTCCGAAATTGGTCGCAGTTTTTTCATGTCACCCTGTATATTTAAAATTACTTTAAGCTCGATAGGCCAAGTATTGGGTAATTTACATACAAATATTGTAAGTAAGGAATATAGCTTCCACTTAACTCCGAGTTTGTATAGGTGTTGCATTGGAAACATATGTTCTCCTGCTTATAGTTCCGAACAAGAGAATTACACTATTTTAGGTTAGAAAATCTCTCTGGTATTCGTTTCTTTTTCTAAAATGCCTTCTTCGATTAAAATGCTCTTATCGTATTTTTTAACATTTTTACTTAGGCTACTTTGTCAAAAAAATGGCCTCAATCATGCACCCCATTCACGCATACATATTCTATCAGACATTTTCTGCGATTGCTTGCTGCCATGCCAATTGCATGGCATTCAGGTTAGCTTAGCTTTTGAGGCCAGCTGATTTTGCTGATAGCCTGGTGTTGAGCGAATAATTCGAATGTTGATGTTGTGACAGACACGGTAATGCTTTTTTTGTTTTTGTTCATTGTTGTTGTTTTGTTCGTTATTTATTTTTATTTTAATAAAAAAGGTTAGCAGCGGTAATAAACATGTAAAAAACAACAACGGTCTGGCGGAAATCAATTCTCTTAACACAGACAGAGAGAAAGAGAGAGAGGAATACTGTCACACAAACAACCACTTAGGGCTGGGAAACAACTGTTATTTAAGAAGAAAAGGAAATAAAATAAAAAAAATAAAAGTAATTGGATTTAAAAAAAGCCTCACAGCAAGCAATTCGTCCTTTGCTTCAGATATAGTAGGATCTATGTACTGTCTATTGCATTGGATGCTGCTGCGAGTAAAGCTTATTTGGTGACACAGAAACATGTGTGTGTATGTTTATAACCGGATTTTTTGTTTGTTTGTTTGCTTGCAGGAATTTCAATTTGCTTCTTTACCAAGTCGCATAAAATAGGCCTATATTGTCGGTATACAAATGCCAGGAGTTCAAAATACAAGGCAAGTTGTTCGCTGTCTGGCTGTTGGGGAAGAGGATTTAAGAATTATTGTGTTGGTAATAATAATATGCAGCCTATAGTTATACAAACGTATAATAATATCCTTTTTAGGTATCTTTGCAAATTTGGAGTATAGCAACCGATTGCAAAAACAAGTGAATGTCTGAGAAAAGCAAAATATGGAAAGCAATAAAGTTGCAATTTCAAATGTCCTATATAACCTTTCTTGCCATTCTATATGGATTTATATGTCGTTTTTTGTCTGATTCTCTTTCCATCGATTTTTTTTAAAAGCCTAAAGGCTGCAATACAAATGAAACAAGGGATGTAGCAGAGGAAAGGAATTGAAACAAAAATCACCACCTCAAAGTGAAGATGACGATGGCAAGAAGGCCGCTGAATGGACATTTCTGTGAAAAGCTGTGTTCCTGTTCGAAATTGATAATCATTTGCATAAATATCGTTAAATGTGTGCGTGCTTGGCTGGTTGGGCAGCTGAATAATGATGCTTCACATACATATAAATTGTAATTATCACAAAAAAGCCAAGAACATTATCGCCATACCAATTTGATGCAGCTGGATTTAATGGCAATAATAATGTTTTCACTCTGCTTTTGCGCAATGCCAAAGCAATACACATACATATCTTTAAAGATATTTGCAATATGTTAAACACATTCATGACAGGAACTCTATTTAAAGGATGTCTGAAGGGTGTTTTTTATATTTAAGTAGTTAACTAATGTTTCAATTATTTTAAAAAGCAACATTTTATTCTTTTGCTGTCTGTATGGTAAAATTGTTTAATAGATGTCTTTAAATCGTCAAAACGAACTTATTTGCGTATAAAATGTCCAATGAAGCTGAGCTTTGAGGGTTCTTTGTTGCGTTGGTTCATTAATTTCAAAGTACATCAATATTACAATACTAAATAATATGCTAAATGACTATTTTCATGTTTTAAGTTATTTCCTATAAAACTCAAAATTTCCTGAAAGTTTTGAATCAGTCGATCTTGGATGGGAACAATAGTAAGCAATAATTTTTTCCTCCATTCAACAGAGAAAATAATTCGTTAAGCCTAGTCATGCAATCAGAGTTGATATAACAATAAATGAAATCTAAACCTCTCAATTTTTTTTTGTTATTTTGTTCCATTGTAATAATAAGATGTTAAAATTATATAATATAATATATATATAATATAAAAGTGATATTTCATTTAAACTTGTTATGACTAATAACTGCTGTAAATATTCGTAGCATTTAGCTTTCCTATATGTTATATTTCACTGTTTGATAAAATGTTTGAACGCCGACAAAATCATACGGGCTGCAGAGTGTGCTTGACGTTTTGACATATGACAATCTCTCTCAGCAAGAGAGTACATAATGTCATAAAATAACAAATTTCCCTATGCTGTTGAAAAAAGTACTAAGTCCATACTGTATTTTCTTTTTATTTAAACTTAAATAGAGGGAATTTTTTAACAAATGTTCTAAGGAATTAAATTGTAGTTTAATTTTACACACTTCCAAATGTTCAAAATATAAATAAATTTTATCTTTCGCGCATTTATATATCCTTTCTTGGTTTCAAAATATTCTTGCTCAATTTTCAACTTAAGCCATTTCTCTCTTTAAGCGTCATACGCGTATGCCTCACATAAATGACACAGCTCCAATAAAATTTAGTTATGTGGGGATTTTTGGAGAATATACAACGACGCAAAGTAGAAAAACATTTGCTGTAGATAGAAGAGGCCTGTGAAAAACATCAAAACGGGGTTCATAATTTTTTGTGTGACGGAACAGATTGCTACAACATTTGGGCCAGTGAAAAAGTGAAAAATACAAGAATTCCGTTTGACTTATTGAACAAATTGCAATACAAAAACACCAAAAATGGCTTTGAAAATGTTGGTTGGACAAAGTAAGTAGCCGAAAACCTTGGAACGCGATTACAACTGAAGTTGGAAAAATGTGAAAAGAAAAAAAACTTATCTATGCTAATTGGTTGTGTGGAAAAAAAGTAACAAAAAGTGGAGTAGACAAATATGTTAAGGCTCCACCTTGAATTGAGCGATAGAAAAGTGTAATAAATTGATTTGAGAATGTGGCAAGGAAAATCTGGCTGAATATAGCAGCATTTATTCCATTATCGGTCTATTGATTTTTCCCAGTTGATGATGGTGTAAATTGTGTATTTGTCTTGCCTGCTGTCTCGTTGAACGCCCCCCGTATTGACCTTTTTGGAAGCGTTGTCATTTGGTTGATCTAGAGATTTCCCAACCCCCCTCCTGTTAGCAAAGCAGTGGTGTAGGCCTTTCTGCATTGGATACCGAAAATAAAGTCCCTTCCCAAGTGAATGCGCAAATGCGAAAAACGTCATCACATAGTGGTCTTGTGCTCAGGCATTTTTAGGATAGAATTGAAAAAAGTGTGCGTGTAACCCACCCCCATGTCCTCAAATTATAATTCCACCATTCCGTAAGAAGAGGCAGAACTGTCAAATGGTGTTTGTTTTTGTTTCTTCTCTCAGCGATGTCATGAAGGAGATTTGTTGACATTAGTTGTCACGGTTTTTTTATTGTTTACAATGTACCCTACAATCTGTTATTTGGAATGTAAAGTTAGGCAAAGTGGTTGATAACATATGCTCGTATTGCCTTTCCCCTCGTCTAGTATGAGGCGGCGTTTAGTGCCTTGTATGTTTATTATTAAACAAAAGTGAGTCATAATTATTTAGCGTTGATTGTTTTTTTTTTCTTGCTTTTGTTGTATGACTTGTTTTCGCTTTCTCATAATCATCAATGGCAACAACAGCAGTAGGCAGCGATGATGGCAAGAGAACAACAATATCCATACAAACGAAGATGAGAGCTTGAGTCATTGTTGGTGTCTAGGATTTCCCCACTCTTTACAGAAACCCTTTTAAAATAACCTATTTCGCCTTATAATTCAAACAATCACCACTTTTATGTCAGACATTCTGGTATTAGGATCCCTAGATTTCTTACAGAAATTTTTAGTTTCAGCATTCCCATTTTTAACAGAAACTTTTGAATATGAAATCACCTACTTTTAGTTAGTTTCGCATTGTCGATATTCTGGAAGAACGTCCAGGGGCGGGATTCGCGTAAAGGAAATATTTTTCATTTTATGTTCTCATAGAACAAGAATCCAGCCCAAGGTTCTCTAAATTTTTCACAGAACTCTTTCTTCAATAGAAATAACTTAAATTTAAGGGGATTCCTTTTCACAAAAACATTTTTAAATTAAACGTTTTCGTCGCATATCCAGAAAACTATTTTTATTTATGATATCCTCTTGTAATTCAATCCAATGACCATTTCAATAAAATTGAACTCTTTCAGAAATAATTTTACCCAGATCCCATTATTCCGCATCTTCTATTTCAATTACGTTATTTAATTGTGATTTTTATCTCCTTTTAGAAATTATGAACGAGGTGGTCAAGTACAAACCACCACCTCCCAAGAAAGGAGCCACGGCTGCTAGTGCTGCTGCTTCCAAAGCAAACATGGACTGGCGTGTGCTTGTTGTTGATAAGTTGGGCATGCGCATGGTATCGGCATGTACCAAAATGCATGAAATTAGTGCCGAAGGCATTACATGTAAGTACATGCGACATTTTCAATATTCTTGCAAATTCAATACCATATTTTCTTTTTTTATTTACAGTGGTGGAAGATATTAACAAAAAACGAGAACCCTTGCCATCTATGGATGCCATTTATTTGATTACACCATCTCAAGATTCGGTGGCTGGTTTGATACGTGATTTTGAGAATCCAGCTCGCCCCATGTATCGTTATGCCCATGTATTCTTCACTGAGGGTAAGTCGAATGTTGGTATAAGAGCGAAAGAGTATTTTTTTTTTGTTTTTCTTATTTTATGTTTTGTTTTTTATAATTTCTTTATAATTTTTTATTTATTTATGTTTAGCCGTGCCCGATGAAATATTTGAAATGATAAAAGCCGAAAAGCAATTAGTCAATCGTATAGCTTGTTTCAAAGAAATCAATATTGCCTTTCTGGCATATGAGAGCCAGGTATAATAAAAAAAAAAAAAACCATCAACTCCGAGAATGAGTTGAAAAGATATTTTATGTCCTTTTTCGCATAAATTCCATTCGTATATGTGTGTATGTGTTTTTATCTTTTCTGTCTTTTGCCATGGATGGAGAAGGTTCGTTTTAAGGTCCATCATAAGAATACAATACTAATTTCTAACAATATCTGCCGCTTAATGACAAACTAATGCTTCATGATGCAAATAACTTGAGTTTTATACACACATTACCCGCCATTCATATTATGTGTCCAAGTGTCCATCATTGTCTTTTAAATGTGATGTAATTATATCAAAAGGATGTGCTTTTTCTCGATTACCTGGTTTTTTTCTTTGGTAAGAGAAACAAAATTGGATTGCATCCAAAACTGCAACATACAAATGTGTATGTTATGACCTAGTTTTGCATAGTATATTTTGCCCTAACGTAGTCCTCTAATTCCATAAGTTTTCTTTGGCAAATGGCCAGCTAAAAAGTGTAGGCGGAACTCAGCTAAAGGGAATGTTTTTAGCAGATATACACATACAGGATGAGATTGAAAACTGCAACAAAGTCAAACGCCATAATTTTTATATTTTTTTTTAAATTTTATTGATGAAAGCAACAAATTTCGAAAATAGCATCAAATTTTATAATAAGTTTAGATTTGATTTGAAATGAAACCGTCACACGCTGCCCAAATGTTGCACTGCGGTATTTTGGCCCATTCCCGGCAAAGCGCTTCCTTGAGGTGATCGACACTTTGCTATTTTTTAATACCAACCTTGCTTTCCAAAATACTCCAGACACAATAGTCCAACGGATTGGCATCCGGATATTTTGGAGATTTATTCACATTTAAATGTTGGAGTGTTCTAACGATAGCCACTTGTGGTTTTCCATCCAAATATAAAGAAATCCCTAAATCGAATTACGATATTGTCTGGAAGACACTCCAAGACAGGTACAACAACAAGAGAGCTCAAGTGTCAACTATATTTGAGAGAACGCTAAACCTGCCCAACATGTCTGGCGATGGCAGATCAGTGAAGGACTTTCATGACAGTCTTCATGAATCGTTATAGGCATTAGAGGGTCTTGGAGTAAAGCCAAAAGAATGGGATCCACCCTTAATCCACATCTTAACAAAGAGAATGGACAACACTACTCATATGTTGTATGAGCAGTCGATTGTGGATTCCAAAGAGCTCCAAACGGTGGAGCATTTGATGAAATGTTTGAGGAGTCGCTTCGAATCATTAAAAGCTGTCAATGAGATTCAGAAGAGCAAAATGCTTTTATACGCTGGTAAACAATATAATGAGCTGTCACTGAAATAATTTTAAAAGCTGTCGGACTAGTGGCTTAGAAACGAAGGAAGTCTTAAATTGCTTGCAGTTTTTTCATCTCACCCTGTATAATTAGTATTTTAAAAGGAATATTAGAGCTTAGGTGGGACTTTATTTCAACTTTAAGTTTTCATTAATTTTGGCTTCTGGGAAACACAGGCTATTGTTATATTATTTTTTTAGATTTTTTTCTAAATTTTCGATTATAATTTTTAGTTTTTGTCTTGCCAAGGCTACGAGATTTTAGGTTAAGATTTTATTTGGTTAATATTTTTGATTTTAAATATTGTCTCCTTAACTTAATGAAATAAGCATATAAAATGTTTCAGTGCTATGGGTAAGATGTTTAAACAAGATAAAGCCATATACCTAAAAGTTTACTTAGCAGTTTTTATTCCCTTGATAAACATACAAATATTTATATAATTTTCCCTACCTTTAAGAAACAATCAGTAGATTTTTTCTTTTCTTGAAAAAGGCCTGCTTATAAACTATGAGCCTTTGTTTATCGACTTTAAACAACTAAAGCATTAGAACCTAATCAGTTTTATTTATTACAATTTTTGCACTTGTTTTCAATTTTGATTTTCATAGTTTTTAAGACTCCCCAACAAACATAACTCATGTGGTTTGTTTTTTGAGAACATATATACATATTTTATTATTATATACAATAATATATTTATAGTCTGCCCGGAGGAATTATTTAACGATTTGTGTAAATCGTGCGCTGCAAGAAAGATCAAAACTCTAAAGGAGATAAATATTGCATTTCTACCATATGAATGCCAGGTGCGAAAACTTTACAAAATAACAAAACTCAAAACTCAAAAAAAAAAAAGACATTTTAAACGCCACCAAGTACTAGTACCACAGACCAACTAAACCAAGCCCAAAATGAAAATAGAAACACTCCAAACTCTTTTCCACTACTACTACTACTACTTACCACTACTACTACTACTAAATAGACGTGTATTTTGTAAATGTTTGTGTCTTCTATTGTATTGTAACTTATTACTATTACAACTCTACTCTAAACCATAACTAAATACTACAACCTACTACTTTAAAGCCCACAAAAAGGGAGGATAAGAAAACAAAACAAATTTAACACTTGTTTGTTTTTTATTGTCCTGATTTCTTCTTGATGTTGTTTGTGTTCTTTTTTAAATATTCTTCTAATATTACTATTAAATGTTGTAATTTATATACATTTAATGTTTATTCTATGTATGCATATGTGTGTATGTATATGTATGTCCTTTGGGAAGACATAAAAAAAATAGAAAAGAAGGGAAATTCAGAAATCACTTCTTTTTCCCAGACGACGAATTTCTACAGACCTTTTCTTTCCATCAATATTTCAGGACAATTGAAAATCCAGCTACGCAAACTTTTCCCAGGGGTTTTTGTTTAACAAAAAACCCCAGTGCGTTTCATCAACCTCGAAACGAATAAAATTGAAATATTTCAACTGTGATACTCTAGCCGCTATCACTCTACAACTCCAAACAATCTCCTAAAGTTTTGTTTTACTTGTTTTGTAGTGTTCAATTTAATGTGTATGGTTATATACAGATAAACAAATCGTCATCTGCCTATATAACTTAAAAAGATACTCAATATAAAAAATTGCAAAAATATTTTTTATATTTACACGAATAGACAAATATATGCCAAATTACATAGACTCGTTTCGTAGTCCAACAAAAGAAACGACAATCACCCAAAAACCCATCCTAAGCATCCCCAAAATCCTTGTTCCTTTCTCTCCCACACCAGGAAACCCCAATAAACAATGTTTGAATTACAAATGAATGTATAAACTCTTTTGAAATTGGCCCAAAAACCCACAAATTCGATAAGAGTCCATTTAATGCTTGACACAAAATTGCGAACCCCCCCCAACCCCTATTGGTGTCTTATGCATTGATTTGTAATTGTTTATGTAATTTGACATATAACTCACGGGCATCATGACAATATCAAATGTTACCAGCAATTATTTTTAAGAACAATTCTTACAGCCTTTACCAGTGAAACCCTATTGCTTGCTTTTAGATTTAGCTATATCCCTGTAGCTTCTATTGAATTACTTTTATATATATCTGCATAATATATATTACTTTTAATATGACACATACTCTTGAAATGCCAATTTTTATTTGCTTTAATTTAATTGCAGCTTTTTTTGTTCGATTAAGATATTCATTTAATGGTATCAGAGGATAGGGAACTAAGGAGTGCTTGCAGTCAAGTTCAGTCTCTATTCCAATAAGGAGGTAGAACAGCTTCGTAAAACTACAGAAATACAGCCCTGAGGCTATGCCGGCTTCCTGTCAGACTTATTCAAAATTATGTACAAGAAGTTGTTTTCATAATTTACATATCTTTTTCATTTTTAAAATGGGTTAAATAGCGCGAAAAATTAATGAAATGCCTGGATTTTGCCCAAAAATATGATCCAAACTGTTTAGTCTTTCAATTTCGTGGCTAAACTGGTTAATAGCTTTAATGCGCGAGCCGCAATCTACATGTCTTGACACTCAATTTGGAGCAATGCGTAGTTCATGTTTCGAAACGATTATGGGGAGCACAACCTGCAAAAAAATTACAAAAAAAAAATCAGATTAGAAACCCTTTCGAAACCTGGCACAGACTCCTAGTCCTCCTTTTGCAGAACCCAAATAGCAAAAAACTAAATTTACCATTTAACATGTGCAAGAGATGTCAGACAAGAAACCATTTCAGAAGGAACTTGTCCCCAGAGTTAGCCGAAAGAAAGAAGATTTAAAATATGACGAATATTTTCAAGATAATTTTCCCTTTTTTATATATTCTTAGCAGTATGGGGTTTTTAAATTTTTTTCCTATTCTTTTGTGGCCGTAATGACTTCAACATAAATTTCCGGGCACGCGCCGCTCCTTGAAAAACCACCTGTAATAAAACGTTCAATTCACAAATGCTATTTAAAATTACAGTACATGTGCCGTCCTCGGAGTCCACCTTCATAAGCTTCACAAACCAGGAAAAATTTTGCCCTACCACGATCAGAATGCTAGCCAATACGTTTTGGGCGCAAATTGATGAAGATTGAGAAATGCCAGCTGCCTAGACAAACCAGGGTAGTTTTGGTGCAATTACGTTCAGGATGGAGTAATCGTCTCAATTCATATTGGGCATGAATTGACGTTAAAGTAGCCGAATTTTTAAACCTGGAGCTTTAACCCGATTAGCAGAATGCAAACACTCATATGTACTAGTACTACTGAGAAGCGCATGCCCAGGGTGTTATAGGTTAGGTTGCGGGATGCGTATCTACACTGGAGTCGGTAGCTGCTTCACTCGGAGACCATTGACCCATTGTAAAAGAAAGAAGAGATAGCAAGATATAGTTATATGAAAGCTTGCCTTGCCATGATATGAAGAATCTCTCACCAACCGAACACCCTATGTCTCGCCTCTACCTCTTTTTCGTCCTCACAGAGTCTACAGTAGTAGGGACCATCGTTATCCCATCTTGAGACCAAATATCTAATATTGAACTGGCCCGTCAATATGTCCGCCTCTATTCTTAAATCGGATCTACAAATTAATAGAAGGGATTAGGCTATTTTCTCGATTCTTAGATCAGACCTACCATTGAATTGAAGGGATTAGGCTTATTTTCTCGAGATTGCCGGTCATATGGCCCTAGAAACCTTGCAACAGTGAGTTTTAAAACGCCCCAAACTATGACGCATCTCTTAAATTGTCCTGCCAAACCTAACCCAATTTACTCCTATCTTCGGCTACATGTTGTGAAGGTAGCTAAATATTGAAATTTGGAGTTAGAACCTGTTTAGCAGGTACAGGCTCACGTTTCAAGGAGGCCTAACTTGAAACCTCCACTTTTCTCTTCTCTGTTTCAGAATGAACACAAGGATTTATTACTCCTATAGACTTTTCATCCGTTTATTGTAGAATGTTTCATTTAAGAATCCCGCAATAAAAGTTATTGAGATTCTAAAAACTCTGAATCCGGAAATAAATAATTGTTTTAAGAGGTCGACATCAGTCGACAATACCGACTGATACTTTTTTTACATCTTAAATGTCACAAAGACTATTTCCTGTTATAAATATACTCCTGTTTAGGAATTCCATTTTTGAGATGCCATTATAGCGAAGGAAAATTTCATTTCCATAATTTCATCATTCATTTGCATAATTTTGTGTCCCCCGCTGCCTTTTCATCCTCAGAGTATGTGTTGTATGCTTTTGGAAAATGGAATGAGAAACATGTAAAATATTATTAATTACTAGCAAATGTGTATAAATCCCCAATTAAAACCATATGAAAATGTATATTTAAATAAAATAAATTAATATTGTACTTCTTATTTTGTTATATTCTTTTCTGTGGCAAAATATCTTGTGTTTCTTTTCCAAATACACCAACTAACCACCAACCAACCACCACCAACCACTTTTACGCACGTTTACTTTCTCCACTTTCCTCAACTCTCTCAACTACTATCTCTACTACTACTACTACTACTACTCAACTTCAACAATAACAACAAACTGCACCGCAATCAAAATTATCAAATAAATAAAATAACCCAAAATAATAACAAAAATCAAATCGAAATCAAAACCAAATTTTGGCCCACTCCTAAAATGCACTTTTAATAACTAATCAATCTCTCCTAACAAAAATAATAATAATAACAACAACAACAACAACTACTACTACCACTAACTTGTGTGCTATGTGTGATGGCATTTTGTTTTTGATTGATTGAATAAAAAATTCTGAATAAAAATGAAATGAATTGAATTGAACCGAAACAAATGTGCTTCTCTTAGGTCTACTCGCTCGATTCGCCAGACAGTTTTCAGTGTTTGTACTCACCGGCATTCGCCTCGATACGCGCCAAACACCTCGAGCGCATTGCCGAGCAAATAGCCACCCTGTGCGCTACGCTCGGCGAGTATCCGATGGTGCGATATCGCACTGATTGGGATCGCAACATCGACCTAGCTGCAGCAGTTCAGCAAAAACTGGATGCGTACAAGGCTGACGAGCCAACGATGGGCGAGGGTTCGGAGAAAGCACGTTCACAATTGTTGATTTTGGATCGTGGTTTTGATTGCGTATCGCCCTTGTTGCACGAATTGACACTGCAAGCCATGGCCTATGACTTGTTGCCGATACAGAACGATGTCTATCGCTTTACGCCCGGACCCAATCAGCCGGAGAAGGAGGTGTTGCTGGATGAGAATGATGATTTGTGGGTTGAGCTGCGCCATCAACATATTGCTGTCGTTTCCACTCAGGTTACGCAGAATCTGAAGAAATTCACCGATTCCAAGCGAATGTCTTCTAGTAAGTTTAGAAAGAATGATCATCTAGGTGTATAGACCTATGTATGTGTTAGGTGTTAATAGAGAAACAGTGCCTGTGGTGGATTTTTTTTTATCTTTTCCGCCAATTGTGATTATTATTAATTCCAAAATGTATTTAAATTTTTATAGCTGACAAGGCTTCCATGCGTGACTTGTCACAAATGATCAAGAAAATGCCACAGTATCAGAAGGAGTTGTCCAAGTACTCCACTCACTTGCATTTGGCCGAAGATTGCATGAAATCTTATCAGGTATTTGTCGATTGGGGTTGGTTCGAAGGTGTCCTTAAAATATTCAATTCATTTTTTCCTTGTTTAGAACTATGTGGATAAACTGTGCCGTGTCGAACAGGATTTGGCCATGGGCACAGATGCCGAAGGTGAAAAAATCAAGGATCACATGCGTAACATTGTACCCATTCTTTTGGATGCGGTAAGTAAATAGCCCAAATAATATTCACTCCTACCAACAATTCAATTTCCCATTTCTTCGATAGAATGTCTCCAACTATGATAAGGTGCGCATCATTGCTTTGTATGTCATGATCAAGAATGGCATTACTGAGGAAAATCTCACCAAACTATTTACGCATGCCCAATTGTCGCCCAAGGATCAAGACATGGTGCGCAATTTAAGTCATTTGGGTGTCAATGTCATTGCTGATGTAAGTGGTCGGTTGTATGGCACTTTGGAAGGGTATTAACTTGGCGTTTCTTTGTTTTTTTTTTCAGTCACGCAAAAAGGTCTACACAGTTCCACGCAAGGAACGCATTACCGAGCACACCTACCAAATGTCTCGCTGGACACCCGTTGTCAAAGACATCATGGAGGATTGCATTGAAGACAAATTGGATCAACGCCATTTTGCCTTCTTGACCGGAAGGGCCCAAAATCCCAATTATCACGCTCCAACAAGGTAGGTGGTACAGTTGTATTAACATTTCTCTCGATCTGGAGTAGTCGTAATGCAATTATGGAAAAATATAATTCTGAAAATGTATTCTTAGAAAAATATTTGGAGTAGTATATGTGCAGGGTGAGATGAAAAAATGGCAACAAAGTCAAACGCCATAATTTTTACATTTTTTGAATGAAAGCAAAAAATGTCGGAAATAGCATCAAATTTTAGAATAAGTTTAGATTTCACCTTTTGGCACGAATTATGGCCTTCAAATGGCCAATGAAATCGTCACACGCTGCCCGAATGTTGATCTGCGGTATTTTGGCCCATTCCCGGCGAAGCACTTGCTTGAGGTGATCGACACTTTGGTATTTTCTAGTGCCAACCTTGCTTTCCAAAATACTCCAGACACAATAGTCCAACGGATTGGTTTTCGGAAATTTTGCTGGCCATTATGCGCTGGAAATGAAGCGAGGAACCTTATTTTGTAACCATTCTTGGGTGGCGCGTGCTGAGTCTTGTTGGAATGTCCAAGGTCTGCGGCCAAAATGTTTGCGTGCCCAAGGCTTTAATACACCCTCCAGAATATTTTCGCAATAATATTCGGCATTTATTCTGATGCCACGGTCGATTAATACGAGCGGAGAGCGACCATCGGCTGTTATGGCGGCCCACACCTTCACCATGGCCGGCGCTTGAGTTCTGGTGGCCAACCGAAGGTGCACATTTTCAGCTGACCTCTTTGGCTAGTAAACACGATAATTTTGTTTGTTTCCAAACTGCTGGACAACGAATGTTTTCTCATCGGAGAAAACCAAATTCGGCAGTTCACCACTTTCGGTAGTTCACCAAGCGAGGCAACTCTTTCGCTCTTTTGAGATTATTTTCTTTCTGTTGCGGTGTAAGTTCTTGCACTTTTTGGAATTTCAATGGCTCATTTTTCAATATTTGTCGAATGGAATATTGCGATATGTTCAGGTCACAAGTCATTTTTCGGCCACTGAGACGCAGGTTTCGATTAAGTCGCTGCTTTACTTTTCAACCCATTTCTGCTGATGTTGCTTTTTTTCTTCCGTTCACTTCCTTGACGTCGGGCTACCGTATCACGCTACCAGTATCACGGTAACGAGCGATGGTACAAAACACGAAAGAATTATTCACATTTAAATGCTGGAGTGCCCTAACGACAGCCACTTGAGGTTTTCCAGCCAAATATAAAGAAATCACACTATCACGCTTTAATTCCATCACGAATAACTTTTTTTCTGGAAAATTCTCACCAAAATGCTTTTGTACGCTTGTAAACAATATAATGAGCTGTCACTGGAATAATTTTAACAGGAGCCGGACGAGTGGTTTAGAAATAACAGCAGTCTGAAATTGATTGCAGTTTTTTTCATCTCACCTTGTATATCTGTCTTTGGTCAGATACGAATTGATCAATATTGTCCAACTGTTTCGGCCAACAGTTTGAATAATCATAACTCAAGGCCGGGGGTATACACCTGTCGGAAAAACTGTTCTACTTGTTTTTATGAAGGTTTGTTATTGAAAATAGAGTAATCAATCGGTCAATGTTTATGTATAGCCCCTCATATAACTATGTTTTCTGATTTTCGGTATTCGTAGGTTTCTGCCTCACTTTTCAAATAAATCGGCTTTAATTTGACAATTTGGGTCTCTGTTCTTGCAAAATATTAAACGTAGATCCACTATTTGATGAAGCCACCCCTATATAACTTGCTTTTTTAGAAAGAATATCATAACAATCTGCCTGATTTTTTGATACGCAGAAATACATTAATCAGCCAATTGTGCTATACTAGTCGTGGTCTATAGAAAATTTGTCCGTCCTTTTATATTTCTTAAGGTTATTTTTAAATATTGTTTTTTTTTAAATATTTTTTCATTTTATTTATGTTTTTCTTTTCATTAAAGTGTCCGCTACGGCCATTGGCACAAGGATAAAACTCAGGCTCAGGTGAAAAATGTTCCACGTCTAATTGTCTTCATTGTTGGCGGCGTTTGCATGTCCGAAATGCGCAGTGCTTACGAGGTAACCAATGCGGTTAAAAACTGGGAAGTTGTCATTGGTTCTTCTCACATTCTGACACCGGAGACTTTCTTAAGCGACTTGGGTTCCCTCACCAAAGAGGACTAAGCGCCTCACACCACAGTATAATTAAATATAAACAAAATATATAAACTAAATATTGTTTGTGTATGTAGACGAGTATATGATGCTTACAACAACATAGTAAATTATTACAATATTTATGATGATAAGATTTCAACAACAACAACTACAACTACTATTACTACTACTAACAAAAGGAACATATTTAAAACTAACAAAAACCAATTCTTCTATATGTTATTAATTATATAAACAATACAAAAAATACAAAAAAACAGAAAGAGAAATATATATCCAAATTTAAGATATAGTAAAAACAACAAATGTGTAGTGAACAAAAGCAGCAAAAGTTTTGAAGTTTGTCGTCAAGTAAGACATTTACTGAGGAATACCACAACCACACCATTTTCTTTTTCTTGTTCTTATAACAATTACACTTGCATTATTTAATAATTAAGTCGAGAAGTATAAATAAATAATACGTTCGTTTATTTGTTTCCTTATAATATATATATGTAACCACAATATATATTCCACTTTCACATCTGTATTATCTTTAGCAGTTGGCAAGAAAACAAGGTTATGGAAAGTAAGTGTAGCAATTCAAATTTAAAACTTAATACAAAAAAGACATTTATTGTTGTCTTTGAAAAGAGGTACTATTTATTGCATTATTAGCTTTATCTGAACATGTTTATATTGTGTAATTTTAGCATAGTTTAAAATAAAGAAAGCAACATCCATATTTATAACAAAATGCAACTATATTCAAAAGCAAAAAATGTTTTAAACAAATTGAACAAAATATAATTCATAATAAACATTACACTTCTAATTGAAATAAAAAACAAAAAACAAACAAAACTCTATCTCTTCTCTTTAAAATTTTAGAAAAAATTAACAATGTTACAACCACCAACCAACAAAGCATCATTCATAAATTAGTGAAAAATAAATAAATAAATAATCTTCTTAAATAGTTAAGGAAAAAAATAAAAGATTTTTTTAGGTTTTTCTAAAATTTTATAACATAACAAACAAAACACATGTTACTTTTATCTTTTGAACTTAAAAGAAAAATTATCAAATATTTCAAACTATAAAAACGAACGTTTTCCATGGCCTGAATTTGTTTCGGGTTTAAAAAATTTAAAAATACTTATGCAAGGAAAATGTTTTTGGCAATATTTTGAACCCAGCTCAATATCAACAACAATTTCATTGATTTTCTCTAAAAATCCTCATATTAACAGAAGCTTTTCTCAATTTTAAAATTCAGCATAATCAGCAAAGGCCTAAGGTTATAAAGGCTTTTTTCAATTTCAAATTCAGCATAATTTGCAAAGGCCTAGGGTTGTAAAGGCTCCCATGTATGGTGGGTGATCGACCACTGCTGCCCTTTATCAGGGTTTTGGCAAATAATTCCTAATAAATTTTTACATTTCCAGAAAACAATTAAAAAAATTTATTTTTTCTCATAACACTTCGAATTTTAATATTTTTACTACTTTTTTCCAACAAATAGTAAAAATTCGTTGTTCATAAATTGTGATTTTTCCCATAAATTAGATTCTGATATTCATGGAATTTTTTCTAACAAATTTGAAGCGTAACTTTGTTACGTTTCGCATTTCCTGCATCAAAATTAGTAGCTGAATTGAATTGCAAATAATTATGTGTTTTTCTTAATTTAAAAATAAAACAAGTAAATAAAGTATTCCATTTTCAATGCTTTTGTTGTTAATAATTAATTGTTTAAAATAAAAAATCATATTGGAAAATTAGTAAACAATTTGCCCTTACCGCCAAGTAATTATAACATCATTAGGTAACGAAAGGGAGTTAATGAAATTCTTTAAACAAACAACCGCTAGATATTAACAACAGTATAAAATTGTAACAAAGAATTGAGCTACAAATACGATTCCCAAGAAAAATTGGCTTTGCAGCCAAGGGGATTTCGAAAAAAAAGTATTTAAGAAAAAAAAAAAAAAAACAATTGAAAAAACGTATAATATTTGTCTTTAAATTTAAAAAATATATATATATATATATATATTTCTTACACTCACATATATTATAACTTATTTAAAAACATTATATATCATTTATCATATTAAAAGATAAAAAATGCATATTTATGTAAACTCATCAGCATTATGTTCCAATGAGCCATTTTGCATTCATTCAACATCTATTGCGAAAAAGCTCTAAACATGCACATAAAAAAAACTTATTTCAATGTGTTTTTATGTGTTACAAATGCAAAATCATTTTCAAATCTAAACGTAAAAAAAGAAATATATTGCATGCAAATTATTAAAATATTTCAATAACAAACAAAAATATATATACATTACACATAACGTTTATCCGGTTTCAAGTAATTTGAAAGAAAGGTTATACGTTAACAAAAAAAAACATATATTATCATACATACATATATAAAAACAAATATTTAATGTTTCCACATTAATAAAAATATATAACATAACAATATTAAGAGTTTTAAATATTTATCTTTGAAATAGTAATAACGTTACGAATATTATGCTCCCCTTTACAAGGTTCAGGATGGATGTATTCCATATTAAATCCAAATCAAAACGTTTTTAAATTGGATTTTATTGCATATTATTATTCTTAAAATAAATATTTAAGAACTCTTATACATACATATATTACTTATATTAATCACATAATTTTATTATCACATATATATTTTATTCACGCCCATATTGTATTTATTTCATCTAAGGGGGAAATTTCGTTGTTTGCACAAGCAGATTTTGTTAAGATTTCTCTGTATAAGGGAGAAATTATCTCCCCCCCCCCAAATCTCCCAATCACATTTGGGCTAGAAGTGAACGGGAGAGGCTTAATGAAAGCAACAACAATATCATCATCATATTCTGAACGAAGAAATAGCAAAACAATATCCTAAACGAATAATAATATGCGGTATAGGTTAATTCGGATTTCTTCTATTCGAATTTGTCTAACAATTTCAATTTGTGCAGATATATTTCCTATAACATTCAAATTTTCCATGAGTAATTATATAATGAGATTACTCTTCCATATTCTCTTTCTTTGTGACACTTTAAAGAGTTGTGTGTGTTTAGCACCATTTTGTTTTCTGCAATTTTCTGTCATTTGCCTGCATCTCGCTGTCTGTCTCTTTAATGAAAAAGAAGTTCCATAAAAACAGGCTGTTAATATAAATAAAATATATTTTCAACTGGTTTTTATGGGGAAAATCTTAAATAATTTCATTATTATCAATTTGATTGGCCTTTGAGGAGAGTAGCAATTCTTTATGTAGTACTCTCTTAAACAACTCACCTAAAAGAGAATAGACAGTCTCTTCAACATTTGAGGTTAGGATTAAACATTTGTCAAAAAACAAGACATTTTACTCAAACTAACCGGCAATTCAAGGCAGTGATTTGCAAAAATAAAACATTTCCGTTTTTAATTGTATTAGAATAAATAAAAATCATTTTACAACACAGATAATCCAAAGAGTATTCCATTTAAATTTTTTCATAGCTTTCCCCCCTTAGACTTGAAAAAAATACCATCGAACATAAAGCCTTCCGAAGGGGAAAAAGAATTGTTTTCACTTCCCAATGGGAATTAAAACAATTTCTTTTTTCTTTGTTTCTGTGGGCTATATGTTTAACATAATCATAATCAAATCAATATTGTATGACTTATATTAATCATTATATAATAATCTTAAACAAAACCCAATTAGTTATAAGTGCTTTACCCCAAAACGTTTTGAAATTATTGCCTCCACAACCAGGGGAATTTAAAATGTAAACCAAATCGGAAGACAATTGCATAAGCTTCAATAAGGTCGCAAAGACGCATGCCGTCATTCGATTTTGGGACCAGAAATCTATTAAAATTGAGTATAAAAATTCTTTGCAATCGATAGTTTATACCATTAACCTTAGAGCTACACAGGGTATATAACATTCGGGACTATATTCAATTGTTTTAGATTCCTTCAATAAAAACTTTTGACGGCATGCGAAGACTATGAACTGATTTTGCCATTTCTTTCACCTGATAAAGAGGTCTATTGCATTTATGAGGATTAAATTCCCGAAATTCAAAAACTTAATAAAGAAAATTTTGAAAACTTGTTTAAAGTAGTCCATTTTTTCGGTATTGGACTTCTTACTTTGTTCGAAACCACATTTGTGCAAACGCCAGGAAAATGGGAAATTCCGATTGGTTTACATGAATATAAATTTACATGAAGATTTGTTTTCTTCAATTTGTTCTACGGAATACAAATTAGAAGTTATTTCACTCGGTAGCCTACAAACCAATGCAACTTTAAAAACAAAATAGAGACGAACATCATTTCTCTATAAACCAATAACGTGAAAAAAACGAACATCAAAAACTTCTTTTTGTTTTCTAATATGACAAATTAATAGAATAGGACTTTGGGCTCGCTATATACAATGAGATGTAGAAGTGAAGAGAATCAAGTAGTAAGTTAGAAGAGTTAGAAAAGAGCAGGAGAAGAGGCTCTCTATTTTGATGCAAACAAAGAAATTTAGCTGAATTTACATATGTCAATGATTTTTGACTTGTTATGTCGAAAGAGCATAGGAAATAGAAGAGTCAAATAACAACAACTGACTTGGGAGTAAATTTCTTCAAAATTCCCTAGTTGATAGATTTGCCAAAGTACTTTTCACACACACGCACACGTGTGTTGTACTTTGGTTTAGGTTAAGCTGAATACATATATATCCCCACAAAAATCCAATTTAAATGTTCTGCAACCCCTGAGAAAATATATTCAAAAAAAGAAATTAGTTCATTATTATTGCATAATCACACCGAGATCTCTGAAAACAGCTATATAAAATTTTAATATTCAATGCAAGAAGAAGAAGATATAAATGAAATTAGCTTTTAAGTCAACCCAAAACAATAATGAACCAAATCTCAAGAAACAACCCCTAAACCAAATTAGACAAAAAGAAAAATCAATTATTCAAATAAAACAGATGACGGCTCTAGTATAAAGGCTACATACACCACAAGTTATACATTTTCAAGTTTAAACAACAATTTATTATAACCACAACAACATGAAGTATTTCCTTATGAGACCACCACAGAAGGGGGGCCTTGCCAACCCCCCACGAAGCCGTGTTTCCCCTCCATGGAGACACTTGAGTGAAGAATTCTCTCTTGGCTTACATCTCACCAGCTAGCTACTAAGTCTCGGATTTACTTTATTTTTTCTCTCCAAATATGTTTTCTAACCAAAAAAAAAACTACTAACCACAAACCAATAATAACACTTTTATTATTATATTTAATGAAAAATTATTAACAAAAACCTAAAACCAAACAACTCGTTTATTATTAACAAAACAAACTATATTTATTATTAGTATATATTAATTAATTAAAACAAAAAAAACAAAACAAAGAAAATTTGCAATTTTTTTGAAATGAAACAAATAATTAATAAATGAAATGAAAAAAATATTTATTCTTAATGTCTATTATAGTAATCCGAACAATTATTGCTTACTTAAAAATAACAACGTATATAAGAGTAATTATTAATAATATTATTAACAAACACTAGCATGTAAGTTAAAACGAATTGATGTTGCATAATAACAAAAACAACACATTTCACAAAAACAACAACAACAATATATAATCAATTAATATTCATATAGTATTTAATAAGTATTAAACAAAAGCAAGAAGTTAGGTTAAAGCAAAGCAGACGAAAACAAATTGATCAAAAGAACAACAACAACAACAAATAGTAGCAATATCAAAATAACAACATTCTTGAGGAGCCATCCAAAATTGAATAACAACCAACCAAATAAGGAACTCCTGGCAAACAAAAAAAAAAACATAATTTTTTTAAAAGAATTTAACAACAAAAATTTTGATTAACTCAATCCAATGGCTATTAATTAGTAAAAAACATCAAAAGATTCTTTTATTTATTCAATTTTGAATTAAAAATTTTGCGTTACCTAACAACTAACAAACATATAAAACAAACAAAATATTTAACAAAAAACCACAACATGTTTTATCTAGGGCCGTCATAAAATATTATGAAATTCTATATAGCAAAAGAAACAAAACAAGAAACACTGAAGGAACAACAAATTATTAAAGGCAGAGTCAATTTAATTCAATACCACAAAAGATTGGAGTAACAAAACACTTTGAAAAGGAAGGACTTACAAAAAAAAAAAAAAAAAAAACTGCAAAACCAAACACAACACGGAATGTCAAAAATCAGCCATACCATAACTCCCTTTACGTTCACCCAGGGCAAATTGTTGGCAATAAATAAATAATAAAAGATTGCAAACAATTTCATTTATAAACAACAAAAACCAATTGAAAATAATAAAAATAAAACCAAATGTTTTCAAAAACAATTGGAACTTTCGGATATTTGGGATTTTCATTTGTGGTTATCAAGGAGTTGGTTATTGTTCTGCCATTGACATCTAAGGTAGGACATTTGCCGTAGCTAGCTCTGAAATAACAAAAAATGAAATCTATTTGAAAGGTTTAAAACAAATGTTTTCAAAAACAATTGGAACTTTCGGATATTTGGGATTTTCATTTGTGGTTATCAAGGAGTTGGTTATTGTTCTGCCATTGACATCTAAGGTAGGACATTTGCCGTAGCTAGCTCTGAAATAACAAAAAATGAAATCTATTTGAAAGGTTTAAAACAAATCCTAACCAAATAATGGTATAGGATATAACAATTCCAAAGAATAAATATAATTATTTGCCATTGAATTTCAGCACTGAAAATATGTAAATTTTCTTAAAAAAAAAACAATAACATGTGTTTAAAAAAAGAATTAACAAAAAAATTGAAACCAACTATCGAAATTTGTATAAAAACTGCAGACGTAATGTTATAATTCGTTAACAATTTGCGTCTGTTTTCACGACATGTGTTTAAAAAACGAATGAAGAATGTAAAACTAAATTTCCGAGATATCAAAACACATTAGATACAAGTTTAAAATTAATTAACAAATGTAACATTTTTTCAAAAAACATAATCTTTTTAGCTTCTTCTTTGTACTTTTAATGCTTCTTTCTCAAACATTTATTTCCTTGTTCAATTGTGTAAGTAAAAATGTTCATAAACTTTTTTCACATTTGCAAAACTTTGTAAAGAATTTTTTCTTAAATCAATAAAAAAATCACAATTTCTAAAAACAACAAACCTAAAAAATATGTATGTTTTATTGTTAGATATGTACACAAAAAAAGGAAGGTAATCAATGGTATGTTACCCAAATTGATACACAAACATGGACTTGACGTTTGAAATGGACGTCTCTTTCTTTAGGGTAAAGCATTTTAATATTATGTTATTTGGATTCCGGCTTCTGATTATTGTAGTAAAATTCCTCACAAATTGTCTCTTTCAAAATTACCAAATAATTTACAACAATCCACAAACTCATGCCAATTTCTTTTAAAACCCCTCAATCTTTGAGTGGAGCTCTTTCCTATAACCATTTTTCAACAAAAAAGCAATTCAAGACGTCCAACACGAAAATGGATAAATGAAACTTTAATACAACTGAAATAATTCCTAATGACATTTGTGTTCATTAGTGTGTACCACACTTCACTTAATTCTCTACTGTCTGGCTTTTAAATATTTACGGTATAGGTCAATACAAAGCTCTTGTTTTAACAAATCAACCCAACATATTCCAGAAAATCTATGGATTCAGAATTTAGATTTTATTAGATCTGCTTATGTTAAATTTTCATTTCCTTTAGCTATGTCCACAAAAATTAAATAAAAAACTCGCACTTTTTTTAATTAGTTTTATTTTTTCTCTCTCTTTTTTATTTGTTTTATTTCTGTAAGAAACCTTTATTATTACTTATGTACAATTACAAATATAGTTATAGTTTATGGGAAGAGAAAAGAGGGGGGAAATATTTTAAATTATAAAAATATAGTATAAATTTGCAAAACAAAAAGATTTGATCTTTACATACTGAGTTCGTTTATGAGTTAAATTCTATAAATATATTATTGTTTTTGTTTTCTGTTTGTGTATGTGTTCTCTGCAAGGAATTTTAATTTATTTAATTCTATAAAAAAAGCGTAAATTTATTTGTTTGTGTATGTGTGTGTGTGGTGTAATGTTAATGTTACTTTACATAAAGGCAGACTTAGAAATTAGATTTTTGTTATTTTTTTATAATTATAAATATATCTTCTTTTTTAAATATTATTATTATTGTTGTATTTGTATAGATTAGTTTCTACGATTATATGTTGTGTGTATGTTTTGCATTAAAGCGCCTTGCAAGCGTATTTCTTAGTTGGGAGGAAAACAAACAACGGTCGTTCGTTCGCAATATTATCATCCTATATAAAAATTTGTATATATATTTAGGTGTACTTCCTGGGAGGGGGCTAATCATTTTACATTTGATTTATATTTTACAGCAACTTCTTAGAAGGGGCGTCCATTCGTTGTATTACCATAATACGAGGGTCGTTCTGGTAGTTTGGGTGGTGCATTGGGCACAGGTCGGCTGTTTGTTTTGGGAAAGGAAAGAAATACACAAATTAATTAAATAAAGTAACAAAAGTATTTTTCAATTTCATTTCTATTGAAATCAGTAATTTACAAATGCTTAAAAACGCTATCACCACTCACCTATTATTTGTGTAAAAAGTTTTAGTACATAACCGCAACCATAGTTAAAAGGAAGGGGGGAAATGGGAAAGAAGTTTTTGTTTTGTTAAAGAAAGCAGTAAATAAAGCAGAAGTGTTCATAGCGAGCTCGAAAGTATAGAATGTGCGAATCAAGATTTTACCAATTACCAAGCTATGCAATGCGAGATATGAGTTTCAAATTCCATTTTACGTGCGTTTTATTAAATAGCGATATACACTAGATTTCTCTATATCCTGTTTGCCTGCAAGTCTATTGCAGTTCCACACAACTTCAGTTAGTACCTTAGAATATATCGTACTTTTTAGGATTATTTTATTGTTTAACTATAAGAATACACATGTCAATTTTATGTGTCATATATTGTTTCCAAACCTACCATAGCTTCCGCTCGAAATATTTACAGTTTAGAGGAATAACAATTAAATAAAACTTTAATACATTTGAAATAATCATTAATGACACTTGTGTTCATTGGTGTATACCACACTTCACTTCTTCTGTCTGTCTGTTTAATATTCTCTTCTCACTGTGTCATGAGAAGAGACATTTATTTACTGTTTATAGAGGGAGAGGTGACACATAACCTTTTAACGGATAACAGCTTGATTAAGCAATCATTGAAATAAATAAACACACAATTCTTTCATTTCCTCTTTCTTCGGTATAAAAATTAAATTAAAATTATGAAATATTTAATCTTCTTTTATCATTTCAGTCGGCTGTTTTTCTCTCCTAATCGCAAAAAAACTTAATTTTCCTAAGTGCCGGTCATGGTACAAGAATATAGGTAGATGCAACAACGCTTGGGAACATTAATATGTCAATTTTTTTAAAGTGTTTTGTCAAAAATAAGTAGATTTTTATATGTTTTCTTATACGACGCCAATCGGAGGTTGTAATGATATGTATTTTTCAACAATTTTTACAAATTTCGATGATTTTTCATTTAAGATTTTCAATTCCAAAATCGGTTTGACAGTTCATTGTCCCAGCAGCTGTGACGATACTAAGCGCTTTTAGGCCTCCTCTGCCTAAAACACATAATTTCGTGAAATATTTTTACATGAAATTCCTGGCATTTTAAACAGGAGTAGCGGAAATTCATCTATCGCCTAAAATTGCATTATTTTAAGAAATGTATTTCATGGCTGTTACTTTGGAGCTAGGTCGGGTTGTGTTATTTCATAAAATAAATATCCTGTGACAAACTATAAAATTTATTTAAGAAATTCCTGTCGTTTTACCCTTTCTGGCTAATTAGAAAATTTATTTCAAAAATTCCTATCATTACCCTCTTCGTGGCCTAACATTTTTTCAGTTTTTATTTTTAACAAATAAAAAGTAATAATCAAACGACAGCAAATATTTGTATATTTTATTTAACATTAGTAATTATTTCTTTTATTTTATTAATTCATCATAATCATATAGTTTTGTTTCTTGTTTGTTTGTAATTTGTCTATATTTTTCATGGTATTTCTTATCTGTTTGTTCTGGTTAATCCATTCATATGTATATAATTATTATTACTTTATATATATCCGTATGTATATTTGTATGTTATAGTATAATAGTGTGTTTTTGTTGTTCTTTCTTTTTTTTTGGTGGAACGAAGATATAGAACATGGTGGTGAAATACGAGCTTAAGAGACGACCATGTCTTGAATAGAGGGAATAGTAATTCATATAAATAACATGCTATTGCTTGATTTAAACATTGTTTAATATTTTCTGTGTCATGTATCTTCATTAGTTTTCCCTTAATGTTTCTTTTTTTATATATATACTATATAACATCATATAATCATAATATATTATATATTCAAATATATTTCGTTTCTTTTCTTTTTTTCATTCACTATGAATTAAACTCAAATATTTTAACTAGGTTAGTAATTAACGTCATGTTTTGGGTGTATTCTTTTTTTGTTGGGAGAGAGAAAAGGCATTGTTTGGATAATATCCCTGGAGATGAAATGAATTGAAATTGGAAATTAATACCTCATTGAAAAATGAATACCTCATCGGAATGACACATCTCCAGGGTATTTTATTATAGTCTTTTTGTGAGGTCAAGAAGACTGACATTTATTTCTCTATACAAGGAATGTGGTTTTGGTTTTCTTTGTAAGCTTTACATAATGCCTGCTGCTATACTATCGCTCATTTATTTAATAATGCACAATAATACATTTATCTTTTTTATCATATTTATATATAAACAATTACAATAACAGCAAATAACATTTTGTTGATATATATCGGTGTATAAGAAGTAGTGTTTAAAATAGAAAACATATCATTTAAAGAAAAAAAAAACCCGCAAATTTTACCAATTTATAAGCGCAGCATCATTCGATAGACTTGGAAGAGAAAAATATTGAAAATTAAAAAAAAAACTATGTTTGTCCTATATCATCCTATTTTTTATTACAAAAGATTAGCATTTGTTTATTTAAAAAGAAATCAAAATGGAATGGACATGGAATGTTTCTATTGTAAAACGTGAATTTGCTTTTTAAAACTATTATAATAACTTCCGAATATTTTTAGTTATGTATATTGTAATAATTATTTACTGAGATTTTTATTTAAAAACTACACAAAAACACATTAGCAACAATGGAATCGTATTATTTGTTAGATTTTTTGTTCCAATATTCGAGTACATTGAGTATTAATTGATAGTAGATATATGTATTTGTTCCATATGAATAAATAATTAATAATTTATTAAATATTATTTTTCCCTAAAATTTTAATTTGTTGTTTCGTTTTTTTTTTTTCAATAAGATCTTCTTAATTTGCAAATAGAAACGAATCAAAAAGTGTGTTTCTTTTTTGTGTGGGAGTTGTAAGGAAGCAGAACTGTGTCAAGAGAAATGAGGAATGGGAAAGCCGGTACTTTGGTAAATTTTATCCATAAAATACGTAGTATTAATTATTTTTAAAAATAAAACATTTGAAAGGATAACTTACACCGATACCTAAATTACGTGTTTTACGAAGATTCTTCATTTGAGGTATTTACAAAAATGTCTGTTCAAATGTCAAGTGTTCCGTTAACTCTCCAAAGAGTTTTGACAAAAAAAAAAAAAAAAAAAAAAAAAAAAAAAAAAAACAGCGTCTTGTCAGTAATGCCAATATATCGCTTTTCTTCATTTCTGACGTGTTTGAATTTCCTTTCCTCGTTCAGTTGACATACGACAATCGCTCCAATTTTCTTATTCTCCCTCATTACCCTAAAATGTCTAACAATTGTTACAAATTGTCACTAGAACTCGAAAGACTATTTGTTTTGTTTTGCTTTTCTTTATATTTGCGGACAAATTGTTTTGTTCTAACAAGTTAGTTAGTCTGTTTACTTTTCACTGTTTTTTTTTTTCCAAAAGAGAATAAAACCACTGTATTCTCTCAGAAAGAAACTGTCTGACAATTGCTGCAGAAAAGGTAACTAGACAAAAGAAATCATCAGTGTTGTCTTTTGACATATAATTGTTTCTTTCCGTTATTAGTGGTCAGACAATCTTAGAGTTGCCATCTGATGTTAATCTATTGTTTTGTTTTACAAGAATTCTAAAAAATTTCTGTCGAAACTTGAGAAATAAAGGATGTTATTTTATGAGATTCCTGTTATTTATTTGACATTTCAAAAGACCTGGCATTGGCAATTTATCAAAAGAAGATTTCAATTTATTGCAGTGATGCCAATTCATTTATAGTTGAAATAGTCAATGGTCGTCCTTAAAATATTTGAGAGCATTTCTTCACTGGAGTTTCAAATTTACATATAAAAAACTTTTTGAACTCGAAAGTTTTTCGACGAAGGTATTGCTTTTATTTGTTGACATCAAACATTTCTCTTCTGAGAGATGGCTTGGAAAATTTTAAAATATTTCCAAATATACGCTCTACATAAATTTTCTAAGTGTAGGATAACTCCCCAGATAAAAACATTTCTCTTAATTGGTTTCGTGTAAGCTCGGGGATTACAAAAACAGTTGGCAAATGTGTTTTCATGTAAAAAAAAACTATACCTACCTAATTGTGAACCTAATGTACAAATTAATTTTAAACAAGTAAGCAAAGGCTATAGTCGTGCGGGGCCGACCATGTGATACCCTACAACACTACAATATGCTAGAAGACTCCTGATGTCCAAATCCATTTTGGAAGATTTCGCTTTTGAAATTATGTCACGGAGCACTGCCCAGATATTACTAGCATTTTGACCAGGGACATTTAACCAATATTTACGAACTTCGTCGTGCTGTTAGTTGCAGTGGTCCATTTTACAGCTAAATATAATCCAATGGCCATACATAATGCTAGACTTCTTCCCTGTCCCTAACTTTTTTCTCAGGCGTGTCGATTGGCTTCAATTTTGTGATCAGGAATTTTTCCCTGTTTTTGAATATTGTGCGATCATCTCCAAAAGCAAGAGGTCCCTCTGAATTTCTAAATTTAGACTCATCTATATGATTTGCTTGTCTGGGATATTTGGCTATATTCGTTAACGAAATCAGCAAAAGTAGGCAGACAAAGATAGTGGTTCATTCTTCCCGCTGTCCTAAACTCTAACTTCATGCGAGATTTCGTGTCCATTCGTTTCTATTTGTGACTTTATAACGGCTGCAAAATCAGGAACATTTTAGTTGTTGGTCCATTTCAACCCCTAAATATATTGCGGACTTTGAAAACAATAGGCCTAGCCCTTCTGAGCCTAACCCTACCCTTTTCGTGAGGATCGGACGATAATTGCAATCTGTATATAATATCCCAAACCTGTGTTGTAAGGTGGAAAAATATTACAAAATGTATACCTTAATATTATAAGTCAAAATGAAAAAATCGCATGCGATAAAAAATATGAAAAAATAAAAAAATGTCACAAAATACTACAAAATCTATATTAACATCATTTTGACTTATTTTTATGCGATTTTTTTAGATTTTATACTTTTATGTCAAGAGCGCGTTCTGAATTGGCAAAATTTGTCAAAATCGGTACAGCCATTCTTGAGATATAAGCATTCTAGCTAACATCCCCTTCCTTTGTATATACACATTGTATATTTTTCGCTATATATATCCGATATATTTACTATCGGTATCTACGTAACGGTCAGAATTGACTTGTTCGTCTATTTATGATTTCGCCGGGACTAAAAATATTCGCGGTTTCATAGAAATTTTGACTTTTATTTAACACAAATGTATAGTCTTTTTCACCCACTAAATATTACCCGATGACCATCAAAATTGGAAGGCTTTTGCCCAGCCCGAAGCTCTAGCCCCATGCCAATTTCCGCGTCGATTGGTCCATAATTGCGACCTGTAGAGCAACTGCAAAATCAAGAAAATTTTCAGTTTTTGGTCCATTTCGACCCCTAAATATTATGCGATCATCTCCAAAAGAAATAGGGTTCTATTCTGACCTTAACCCCACCTCCATTGTAAATTTCGTGAAGATCGGGCCATAATTGCGCCCTGTAGAGTGATTACAAATTAACATGGACAGACGGACAGACGGACAGACGGACAGACGGACGGACGGACATACATAGCTAGATCGACTCAGCTCGCCGAGCTAGGAAGATCCATATATACTTTCCTATGTGGGAAACCAATATTTCGTGGTGTTACATAAAATTTGGCCCAATCAAACTTATAATACCCCCAACACATAGTGTTGTAGGGTATAAAAATAGTGGGGCAATAATAATGAACAAATGGCAATGAGGTACAAATGAAAAGGTATGAGGAAAAATACAAAATATAATGTTTTGTGGCGTTAAATTATTTATAGAAAGACAGATATTTTAAAATAGAATGAACAAGAAAGAGTAGGAGGTATCATCATCAACAAAGGACATGTTTGGTAGACAGTATTTTACACACACATATATATTTATATTTTATGCATGGGCACAACATTTTTTTTCTAATTCTTGCAAGACCTTTGTAAGTTAGTTACAAACACAAGCATTAAGGTTATTTGGATTTGTTTTTGTGATAACTCAAAGCTCTCCTTTTGTAGCAGCAACATGTCATTGGAGAGTTGAGTGGTGTGTGTTACATTAATGCATATAGTTTGGTAGAGAATTTGCTTTTTTGTCCTTAATTATTTTGCTTTTCCATTAAATCTAACGTTCTAAAACAGAAAACGAATGAGAAACTGTATAATTGTTTACTTGAAACGTTGGGCGAAAACATTCGACAACTCATTCATGGCAGCTTGGCCCACAGCCTGATTAACTTGACCACGCATACTTTCGGGGATGTAACGATTAGCACCAGTCTGCTGGGTTATGGCACCACCCACGGCTCCAGTCACACGTCTGTTTATTTATTTCGTTGTTGAAGTTTTTTTGTTTAGTTTTGTGATTTAGTTGGGGTCATACAACAGTTATTTGAAAATAGACACAAGCAAATATATGGACATTTTTTAAAACGATAATTAAACACATTTACAAAGAAAAAAGGATAGCAAATGTTTTCTTAAAACAAAAAAATAAGTGGCAATAAATAGGGAATTCAAGGAAAAATGTACACCCAATGTCTCTTGAGAAGAAACATACAGAGTGTAAAAAAATTGTTACAAAATACCTATCTTGCAAAAGTATTTCACACAAAATTCAATATTCGAGAAAACAGATTTTAGATAAATTCAATGATTTCAAACTGAGTATGTTTTTTTTTTAAATATAGAAATATTGAACGTTAATAGAGAACTTGTTGCGAAATTTGGCATTATTGCAAACAAACCTTACTTTTGTTATTTTTGTTTTTATGAAGATAATTTCTAAAGCCACTTATTTTCTCTTTTTGACCATCTTCATTTGTGCAATATTAACAAATACAGAAATATGCAAGGTAAGTTAAAAACATATTTTTTTTTATTTAACATACAAAACTGAACATATCGTTTGGCTTGAAACCCCTTTTTTATAGAAAAAACTTCTTTCTTGGATGTTTTTTTTTTTGAAATTTTGAAACAATTTTAACGCACGCAAAACAGAAGAGGAAACTTTGAAATAAATCAAAAGAAATTAAAAATTATAGCATGTTAATTGTATATTATAAAATAAAAACAATAATCTATTTAAAATTTGTATTTATTACCCATGTTTCTTTCCAAGAATATTTGTAGTTTTTTTTTTTTGGTTTTGTTTTTCAATATAACAACATATAATTATTTATTTTATTTCAACTTCTTTTTTTTTTTGCTAAGATATATAATTGTTTTTTAATATTTTGTTTACAATAAACTTATACTTCTTTGTGGTTGATAATTTTATTTAATTTAATAATCAATGGAGAGAGAGGGGTTTGTGGGAGGTTAATGTTAAATCACTTCACTTGGAACATGTTCAAAATACATATGTATGTATAATAATGGATTAAAAGTGTGTTTAGGGGGTGGCGAACGAACTCTTTTAACATCCTCTGACAGGTTGCTAATGCTGCTCAAATAATTTTCTATTTAATGCGCAATATTTTCTTTTTGTCAATTGATTTTTTATTTCTTATTTTAGTTGGTTATTATTTATTTAGCGTTGTCTGTTGCATGTTAGTTTTGCTTTTCTAGTTAGCAGTTGAGATCAGTATTTAACGACGTCTGTTTGATTCGTTTGTCATTGTGTATTTACAAGGCAGCAACAGGAGGAATGTAGGAGGCAAGTGGAAAAGCAAAAAGGAAGAAAAATTGTAGAAAAAACAGATACAAAATAGAAGACAACACGATATGAACGTAAGATTAGTATTACTTATACTATCAGTATTCTTTGCGAATTGGAAAATAAAATTTGTGAGCAAAATATAAAAATGTTAAAAATCGTTCTTGTTTTTTTTTGTTCGTTGGCCAGAAATAGCCTCTTGGAGAAAGTATTCTTCGATTATTTTAAGATAAACTACATATTAGTAGGGAAGGGACGGAGGGTTTCTTTATGCCGTTCAAGGCTTATTACGAGGAATTACAGGGATAAAGTTAATTATGTATCAATAAAACAAGACTAGAAGAAGACAGAACTCTTAGATATGGGAAAAGTTTCCCTTGTCCTCACTTGAATGTTCCTGAGAATGTTCTTTATATTATTTTTTGTGTTTACTGTGAGAAGCTTCTAAGAACTTTCTTCACATTTATATGGGGTTTTAAAGTTTAGATGCTTTACTAAAACTAACTTTTTTTCATTATTTTTAAGTTCATATCTGCTAATCGTTTTGCTTTCCCCAAGAGGCTTTCCAGGTACCAAACATTTCTTTGCATACAAAAAATATGTGCTAATTACTTCCAATTATTATTGCAATTATATTTCCAATTAAAAAAGAGGTCCCAACCGACGATAGAAAAAAAGTTGTAATAATAAACATTGCAGTTTAGTAAATATTTAATAAATTAATCACCCATAACCAAAAATAAAAACGGAAAGAAAAAAATAACAAAAAACAACATTCAAAAAAAGATAACAAAGCAATTCTACTTACGATGGTAATAGTGGTGGTGGAAGAGCACCGCCTGGGCGGCCACCGGGCAATGGTGGAGCACCGCCGCCAGGGCGATTTGGAATAGCTGGCGCAGGTCGGCCAGAAGCAGGTGGTGGTGGTGGTCCGCGACCTCCAGCGGCAGGCTGAAATAAATAGGCAAAAAAAAGGTAAAATGAGATTGTTTTGTCAATGAATAAAAATATTAGAATAGATATGAGGACTTTTATACCCTACACCACAATAGACCTAGAAATCTGTGGAGGGCTACTACTCTCTAAGAGAACTCTGGGTAATTCCAAAGGAGCGCTGGCCGACGCATCGTATTGCGACCCCTGTGTAATGGTGCATCATGGTTGAAGCCGTCAAGGCGATAATCATGTAAAACCTCTCGACAGCACCCTACACCACACTGTTGTCAGGGTAGTATGTCTTTGTGCATTTGTTTGTAACATAGAGAAGGAAAGGAGTTAGACCCATAGTCCCTTTTGATGCTCTGCATAAAATCACATTCTGATTCAATTTATGCATGTCCGTCCGTCCATGTATATTTTTAGACAAAGTAGAGTTCGCATTAAATGTCCGATCAAAATGAAACTTTGCACAAAGCATATATTAGGTCCAAGGACGAACCCTATGAAATTAGAAACAATCGGGCAAAATTTAAATATAGCACCCACATATATATCTTCGACCGATTTGCTTTTTATTGTGCACCAAATGTTTAATATTGGCCCAAATAGAATGGAATTTGGCACATGTAACCTAATTAAGCCTAGAAACAAGTGTGTCAATTTTGATAGAAATCGGATTAGATATAGCTATAGCTTCCATATATATTATTCATCCAATTTGTTAAAATTCTCCTCCACAGCCGTAATATGCACTCCTTAACAACGATATTGGGAGAAATATGTCAAATAACGCTCAGAAATACCTCTACCAAAATTTATCGAGGTCTTCTATGGGTAGACTCCATTCTAAATATCTTCTACAAATTCGTTATTCTTTCTATATCTGTCTTATACAGTCCTGCCATGATTGGGAAACTTTTCGAAGTTTTCTATGGATTATCTTCCTTAGACATAGCCGTTTTGATCCCTTAAGAACATACTATCTTATTTTATTAAAAATACTTTTGGTTCAATTGTATCTTTTGTCTCAAAATTGAATACATTATGTCCTTCTTACCTGGGCTGATGGTGCAGGTTTACGTGGACCACCGGGGCTGGGTGGTGACAAACGTGGATTATCCAAGCCGCTGGGCAACCAATCGTTCTTAACAGGTGGTGGCAATGGAGCCGATACTGTGGCCATGGAAACGTCACCTACAATGTTTCACAATTGTTAGTTTTTCCGCCAAAAAAAGACTCCCTTCAACATTTAAAATACATACCAATAATTCTCAAAGCATCCTTGCAGGCATGATACATGCGCAACATTTCTTCACGTTTGCTAGCAGCCTCAGCTGATTCTTCCATCATTTGGGCCTGAAGAAAAAATAAAGTTAATGTCGAAACTATTTATGCATGCCATGCCCATGTATATCTTACTTGATCGCCCGAGGCATACAGATGCGCCAACAATTCACCGTTTATGAAGTCCTTGGTGTTGTTGATAATCAACATCATTATGGCTTTGGGCACCATGTCACGTGTTGTCTTTGTGACAATTTTCATATAGGAATCCACTAAATTGCGTATAGTTTCAACTTGACGTTCCAGTTGAGGATCTGTGGAGGTTTCAACACTGGTCTGCTACGTGAATTACAAAAACAAAATATGGAACATAAATACCAAGTTTCAAATAGTTCACTTAACTTTTTTATTGAACAAAAAAAATTTACATTTTTTATTGCATTAACCAAAATAATTAAAAAAAACCAAACGAGTTATTTTTTTATACAAAATTTTCAATTCAAAATATATAGAAATTAATAAATTGTTGACTTATTTTTTTGAGAGTTTCGGTTAGATAGAATGGGAACACACAGAGGTATATAAAATTTCATTAGTAATCGTTAATAGAGAATTTGTTGTTGTTGTGGTTAGGAAGTAATTTTGTGTTAGTTAGATTGTGTCAGATTCTTGGGCAAATTATGTTATGTTTAGTAAAAATAATGGATATAAGCCTTAAAGTCAGTTTTGCTGAAGATTGAGAACAAATTTGTTGGGCTTAATTGAAGGTGTAGAGAAGTAGAAGATGAAATTTCAACAACAGGTAGTTGATATTTTTTAAAATCATCAAGTTTTTCAAAGTGAGTTTGAGTTAGATTTGTGCGAGGTCTTCACATGTTCAGGCTGAGATTAAAAAAACTGCAACCAACTGCAACCATATGAAGACATTTCCTTATATTTACAATATGAAACATACTCAAGCATGCGACGGAAACCAAGACCGCCTTTGATCCAGATGATAAGCAAATGTTTTCTGTACAGAATTCTCGCAAATTTCGAATATAATAAATCCATTTTCGAGTCAAATACGAGTCAAAGTAGTTTCCATCACATACCTGAAATTTTTTTTTTTTTGTTTAGACAACCCCGACTTTGAAGCTTAGCTTACCAAATAAACAGAAAATTGTTATTGCATTGAAATTAAGTATAACATGGATTATTTGTTGTTGTCATGTATGTACAAAGTTTTGTATGCATTTCTTAGGATTAATTTCGAAATACACCAAGAGAGTAGCACTAAATTAAACCATTTAAATATTATAATACTAGTAATGAGAGCAAAATTATAAAACAACGCACGGCTTTTCTTAAAACCAAATCAAGAGTCGTAACGAAAAATGGAAAACAAACCAATCCAGAAAAATAAGAAAATTGGAAAAAAGCAAATGCTGGTTAGTTGGTTGGTTGGGTCATGTGTTATAGCGTTTCAAGAAGGGGAAATGTTAACAAAGAAAAACAACACAAACAAAAAACGAATTTGAACCAAACGAAATCACAAACTTAGAATACAAAAAAAATTCACATACTTTCTCCTGTTGGGCATTTCATATATCATTGTTTATAGTTTGGGTTTTGAGATTTTTTGTTTGTTCGTACGTATTTTTTTATTATTTGATGAAATAAAAAGAAACAAAAATTTATTAAAAAATTGTTTGGCTAAAAATAAGGCGGTGATGGGGAGGAAACGGAAATGGTAGTAGTAACCAAAGGTTTAAAACCGAAAAAATGTGAACTCAAAATGAGAAGAGATACACTCAACAACTAAAACCAATTCATGTCCTTTTTAGGAATACCAATACACGACTGAGACCATTATCAGTTGTTTTTGTTTAATGTTTTATGTTTTTGTTTAAATACATATTCTTTCACCAGTATTCAAAACTACTAATTCATTATGTGATCTCTTGGATGAAGATGCATATATATGTATATTGGCAGAGGAAAAACAAATGAACAATAAAATTAAATTGAACAAACCTCTCGTCCTTCCTGCAGTTGGTTTCGTAGTTTTGTGTTATCCGAACGAACATTGTTGAGTTAATTGAAGAAGAGCAAGAAAATATATATGTATATGGGGAAAAAATAATGGTTAATCATCTACGAATATTAAATGTTCAACAAGGCTAGCACTAATTTTATTTCAAAAAAAATATATTTGAATATTTGGATATGATATGGCTGGACATATTTGTTAGGATAATGTGCTAAAACTGAAATTCCATGGGGTTTTTAGTAACAAATTTTCAGTATTCTATACTTATAAGTTGTTCAGAGGAACAGGGGGTGTATTAGAATTAACATACATACATTGTTTTTGGGGAAGGGATATTCAATGTTTGACTGTGAAACCAAAAACGGAACAAATCCTCTAATAAGTGTCAACGTTAGTGTGGATTTATTAAACCCGTAAGAAACAGGGTCCAGGGGAAGTTTGTGTGGTCTCACGATCATTCGAAATAAACAGACATGGAGAGTTGGATGTACAGTGGACTTATGGAATAGAAGTGACAGAAGTTTAACGACATTGGTTTCGAGAACATTTAAGTGATTCGAGTCCATTGAAAAAAAAAAACATTACTCCAGGACAAGACAAGCCATGTCTTTTCTTATCGTATTTCTTAAATATTAAGTCTATAAATAGGGGGTGATTGTAATATTATTTCTAATTTTGGTGGGGGTTTTTTATTGCGGTTTTGCAATTGTTTTGCGGTACAAATGATGACTTCCAGACTTGTCATTGGAAGAATCCTTATTTTGTATTTTGTTATGAATAAAACAAAACAAAAATACAAATGAAATAAAAAATCAAAAGAGATTTGAAAGAAAGCTATTAGAAGATGATGTATGTGGTTGTTAAAACAACAAATGAATACAAGACGACATTGCAGATGACATTGACGTTGATGATGAGGATAATTTTTGATGATGATGATGTTTTACTAACATGAAGCTATTTAAATTACATATATAGATAAACATTAATATTTCTTTTTAGGTGTTGTATATTATTTTGAATATCGATAAAGACGGAAATGAAACCATACTGACCTCATCACCATTTTCCTGAGTTTCTTGTTTTTCGGGATAAACACCAGCACGCAAGAATGATGCCTTCCATGATTCAACATCTTCAACTGTTTCACAGGACAATTCAAGTTGTTTGTAATCCTGGAAAATGTAAACAATAACAACTCTGTGACATATCTGGAAACAATTTAAATATTCCGTTGTATGCTTACCTTGTACACATTACGTCCATCGGGACTGAACAATGCAAATGTTACACGTCTTGACATCGACATGAAGCCCTGTTCAATGTCTCGCAATTTCAAACCATCCAATGGCAACATGAATTTCTTTTCCTTTTCATCTTCATCCTTGTACCAGGAGATACTTTCCGAGGTCAGGACAAACCAATATGGACGTGAACCACCTTAAAGCGAAAATGCCAGGCAAAAATATACAAAAAAAAAATAGTTTATAAACTTCCGTTTTGTTGTATTCCACATTAACTTTATATTGAATGTTGATAATGAGAAAAGAAAAACTTGCAATGATGTCTAAGGATGTAAAAGTTTGTTAAGAGAGAAAAATTATAAAAAAAAACTAAAATATGAATGAAGCAAATGAAAACCTAATAAGCAAATGTAAAGAGAAAATAAACAATGCTGCTGAATTATATAATAAATAATTGAAATTAAAATAGAATATATTTTTGACAAATTGAATGTTGTAATTGGAAAAACTCTTTATAATATGCTTTCATATAATTATTTTCTCATATCTTTCTAATTTACTCCAATCGAAGCAAAGAGAGCCCCATATTTAAAAATTAAAATAATTTTCCATGTCTCTAAATTCAAATGTTTCAATCAATTTCATTGTTTTAAAACAACTCAAAACATTTGATATTTTTTCAAATTTCCATTTCTTTCGAATTTCAAAATATCCTGAAAGAAAAAAATCTTCAAAGTTAAAACAAATCTTCACCGTTTTTTTTTTTTTTTTTGCTTTTAATGATAAAAATGATTTTATGGCCAATTATCTTTTGAAATTGTACTAGCCTACATAAGGAAATGACTTAAAGAAAACAATGTTTACCTCCTCCCAGATAGAAGTGTCACAATGATTAAAAAAAGAAAAATCAAAACTATATTTTCTTTCAAGATTGGTTGTAAATGTAGATGAAAAATATATATATTTATTTAGTAATAATAATAGATATATTGAAACATTTTTAGATTAGCACATCTAACTCGGAAGTTGGACACAGAAAACTACATGAAATAAACACTTGAGTTTATTAGCAAAAAGGAAGATGACTCTCTTTCTTTGGCACACTTTTCTAAAAACTTGCCAATTTTTCCATGGAATTTTCTGTGTCAAAAATTCTCTTGGATACTCATGTGAATAATATATATCACATTTATTGAAGTTGTATAGCTATTTAAAATAATATTGATATGTGTTTTGGGTTTCCGGCGATGAATTTGTGAAATGTTATTGGCTATTACGGAAATCGCATTTGTATAAGAAGCTCTTGCAGTAATAAGGTAATCAGAGAATTTTCAGCATTATTTTCTCCCTACACTTGGCAAAATATAGTTTATAATTTTTGAAAAAAAAAAAAAAAAACAACAAAAACACATACACAAATGTTTGTAGCATGCTTGGAAAATGAGAAAAAAAAAAAAACATAAAACAAACAAGGAAATGTCTCTAATGCAACACATACAAATTATGTAACAAAAATTAATACTCTGACAAAAATTTCCAATAACTTGCAAAAAAAGAAAGAGCGCATTTCAATACGAACCAATAGCGCGTGGTAAATAATACATCAAAGCTACAAAAAAAGATGAATAAAAAACGAAAAATTTTGTGAAACAATACAAGACGAAATGATAAGGGAAAGAGGGGAAAGGAAGGATATCATACAAAAGGTATTGTTACAAAAAAAAAATAGTCCTCAACAAATTTGTGCATGCCAAGTTAGAAAACTAAATTCATCCTTATCAAATGCTAAATATTTCCAAAAAAAGACATTTAAATTACAAAAAGAAAACACTATGGCCCTGGACACAATTAAATGTTACAATGTTAACGACTGATATTTGTGGGTACTAAAATTTGCCGTTTTTTTGGATACAAACCTTTCATGATGCCCAAATTTTGTATGACCATGTGACCCTTGCGAATCACTTGGTTGCCAAGTTGACGTGTACCAGTTTTGTTAGCATTTTCAGATTTGTTTTGAGCACTTGAGAAGGAAAACAAAAACACACAAAATTAATAAGCATCTGAAGGATGGTCTCGCAGACCGAAGAAACAAAACACCTACTTGGCAAAACCAATGAAATCCTCGTGATTGGTATTCATATAGGCCAATTCGAAATCAATTAGTAACAAAATTTGCTCTTTGCACATTTGTTCACGTTCTCGTATGTGGGTGGTGATAATACGTTCGGTTTCTTCACGTAGACGAGGATAACGTGACATCTGCAAGCAAAGAGAATTAACACATTTCTTGTGATGATGATGGGAAGAATCATTACCTTATCGGTGCATAAACGTACTACTGCTGACAATTCCTGTACGACTAGATCCACACATTTGATGACGGGTTCTTTCAATTGTGCAATTTGACGTTTAACAATGGCCTCAAAAGCCATATCGGGTGTAAATAGACCCACGCGAATACCATGGATATTGCGAATGGCAAATGAAATTTCACGCCGCAGTTCTTTTTCGTCACAGGACATTTTAACAATTTCAAAGCGTAAACTGAAGAAAACAATAATATTTGAATTATTATTCATTTAATTAGTTGACTTTTTCTTGCGGCTCTTACCGTTCATGGAATATGCGATTTATTTTAGCACCACCTGACAATTCATTGGTATTTACCAAAGCCGAACCAGAGCCCTCAATGGTCCTCTCGAAATCTGATTGCAATTGCTGGATCATTCTGAAAGGAAATTATGGGTTCTCAGAACACAGTTTGGTATAATGTATTCTCTGTAAACTCACTGTAACATAGCTTTCGTCTTAATACTTGTGTCTCCCGGCTGGAAATGTTTAAACTCCTGCACATCCTTTTCCAAGGCCAACATTTGTTTCTGCAACTTATCACGCAGGCCAGGTAATGTGTCACGAATGTGATTTGTCAACTGCTGATTCAATACCCTCTGCAAATAGGGTGTACCCAAACGATCAGCAATGTGACGATATGAAGGATGACTCAAGAAGAATTTACGTTCGGCAGCCAAGGCCGCATGGATGTCCTTGCGACCCTCAATGTCCTTTTGCGAGCGATTGACCACACCAATATAGCCTCGACGCAAGGGTAATAGTTTGTTCTCCAAAATGTCACGGGCATCGGTACCCTCGTCCATCAAATCAAGTTTTGTTATGACACCGATGGTGCGTATACCCTGAGGATCAACCTCTTTTGCCAACTTCAAAGCATCCGAATTGGCTAAATCGGTATTGGCCGGTGTAACAGCCAATATCAAACATGTTTCCTTGCGAATAAATTGCAAAATCATATTTCGAATCTGTTGTTCAATATCCACAGGCTGATCTCCGATGGCCACCTTGGTTAGACCGGGCAAATCAATCAGGGTTAGATTGAGAACATGCGGCGAATAGACACGAAGATTGATGGGTATATTTGAGATGCCCTTGTTACTGCCGGTAACACGATCTGTTTCATCTTCGATCTCTTTGCGAATTTCATCAAAACTGGTAAATTTCTTACCCTTGCAATGTAGAAATTCGCCATATTCTGAAAAGAACAGAAGAGCCGTAATGAAAATGTGCAATAGAGGTTATACGTTGAAGATAAAGCTTACCCGTAATGCCATTGATTAATTGCAAAATCAAAGGACGTCTTGTAACAATACCTGAACCTCGAGGCAAGAAATCTCTAAAAAAATACAAAAATAAATCAAATATTAAAAAGATATAATGGCAAAAAGATGGAAAATACTCTGCTTAAAGAAATTTCACTTGTTGTTAACATGAAATTATTGGAAATAATCTTACATTTGTAGGGTATAATCAATGTCATTTTGGAAAGGAGTTAAAATAGGAGTTAAAATATATATCGACACAGAAACAAAGCTTCGTGGAAGAGAAAAAACCCACTCTGATATTTCATCCAAAATGAAATTTGTCTAATATTCACTGAGGCGTACAAAAATCTTACACCTTCACATCTTTTGATTCTATTCCAAGGCAGCAAAAGGTGTAGTGAGGAAGTTTTACACCATCAGATATGGTTTTGGAAAAGATCACTTATGCGAATCCGTGATTCATTTACTGATTACATTCATACCACATTTTGACCATATGCAACATATTTGGGCGTGAAATTTCAGGTCCTATAGAGTGGGGAATATTGTCTCCATCTCTCCATGAATCTTCTTGCCAGGCAATTTTCAGAGTATAGCCATAAAGCCGTGGAGAATGTAGAAAGCCTCGGGGTTTTTTGTGACTCCGTTTATACCAAAACTGTTATCTTTGCCAAATTCTTTTCAATATTTACTTGACAAAATTAAAAAAAAATAAATTGCTTTTGGAAATATTTACTTTTGTCAGTTGTCTATTTGTTTTAGTATAAATATAAAAGAATTTAGAAACCATTCTCCATTCTGCGATTAATTACAAATCATCGATAAGATATGAAAGTAAGCAAAGAGTCTAGTTATTTGTTTCATAATATTGGTCGGTAATCAAAACAAAACTGATAAATAGTTCCTATCCAAAAATGAATATTATGGCGCAAGTACATAGCATTGTCGTGCCAGACGTCGTCTTTTGTCCATTGTTTATTGATGTGTTCATCAGCAGTTGGCTATGATTGGTTGGTTAGTTATTTAATTAATACAATTACATAGAAAACTTCAATAATAATTTTGAGAAAAAAAATCCTATGTATATCTAAGACTCAGAGATCTAACACGCCATAATATAGATTACAGTTCATACTTATATACCCTTAAGAATTTTATATATACATAGATTTTCCCACATATTATTAATATAAAGTTGCAATAATTTGCGACACAAATGTATTGCTCATGAGACTTTTTTATTTAAAATTGTAGGGGCTGAACTACTAATGAATCATCTTACATTTGTGGTTTATCGACATGACAACGATCGGTATGCCCAGCAAAAATAGCGTCATGCCTTAACATTGATTATCACAAAACCATATTATCTCATATTTTTATAAATAATCTAAAGGTTGAGCTTTATTAAGAGTGTAAGAATGTATTGTGGCTTCAACGTCCTTTAGACACACTTCAAAAAGATCAGAATAAATCAACAAATTTCTTCTTAGAATCTATTAATTGCGGGGCATATCTAATCAAAGGTGTTATAAAAAATTATTGTAAAAGTGAAACTGGCACTTTGTTTTACAAATCATTTTTATTTTTTATTGAAACCAAATGCTAACTGGGTCATTAACATTGCAGCAAAGCCCATATCAAGCCAAAAAAGCAAATGTGGATAATGAAACCCTCCTCTATATGCCTTAAAATGGTCGACTTTGTAATAGCTCGTTACAATTACAGTTGTTATGGTCTTGTTGTTAACATTTTTGGAGAGAATTCATTAACAAAAAAAAAATGAAATGTTCAAAGCTCATCCATCAGTCAGTCAATGAATGAATGAGTGGCGGTGGTATTGGTTGTGTTACGGCGTATGGTGTGGAGGCGGGGACATTTACGCAGGTGTTTGGGAAATGCTGTTGCTTCTTCTTCCCTTTGAATGCTATTTATGTAACAGCAAGGTTCAATTCAGGCTAAAAAAAACTGTTTTTTATACAAAAACTGTGTTCATTTTAAATACAAGTGAGGCTTTATTTAAGCTTATTCACACCCCATCTAACAAGAGCAACACAGCTAAAAATAGAGTTTGTAATATTAGAAGCTATTTCTAAATCTATTTTCGTTACATAAGATTCATGGCTCAACTGCAAAGGACAAAGATGAAATGAGTAAATTGTCATTATTTCCCCAAAAATTTAATTCAATTTCATGAATCCTTATCACAACACAATACAATAAAAAATATCTAAGCTAAGCTGGCAGATAAGCTGACATTTTACTCTTTTATTTCCCTTCACCATTCTGCTTTCAGGATAGTTTTCTCCAACGGGAAACATGACTCCCACAAATCTCCCAAATACCGAAAGTAGCCTTTTTTCAACGACACTTTTTGAATAAAATATTTTCCAATATTTTATTAAAAATTATGCCACAACAAGAGAATATTTCGCTTTTTTTAAATTTCAGAATGAAACGTATTATATAATCGCAATTATAAATACAATTTTCTTCATGGCATTCTTTTCCCCCCTTTTTGTTATCTTCATAAATGCCTCCACTCGAATCTTGTCCTCCAAGCACAAACATGTATCTCATTTTGCACAAAATGAAAAAAAAAACGATTTTGCCATGAAAAAGTTCAAGTAATTTAAACAAAACAAGTGGAAGAAATATAGGACATTGACATAGAAACTAGAAAAGACTCTGGGCAAAAAGAAAATGTGAAAAGTTCATGACATTTACATAGAAAAATTTATCTATCAAACTATTTCAGATTGGAGATAGAGCAGGCATGCTGTAAAGAAGAAACGAATGAATAAATAACAACAAAAATAAAATATTGATACAGACTCCAAAAGGATGTTTCTTTTTTTATTTTTCACAAGAAAACGTGTTCACAAAAGAATACCCAAGGATGGGAGGCGGGGGGCTGTCATTGAGGATTTTTGTAGTACTTTCCCAGCTAAAAAAAAGATATCTACATTCAATTTTGAACAAGGGTAGTAAAACTGTAAATAAACGTAGCATAGAATCGATTTTACTATTATAGAGACACAGCAATTAAGACAGATGCGTAGAGAAAGCAACAATATTTACAAGGAGCGCAGACGAAGAGAGAGTGAGTGAGAGAGAGGCATTAAGTTGAAGAACAATTCAAATCCCAAATCTTTGTTTTATAACAATCACCAATGCCAAGACAAAATTAAACAAAACTAAAAGAACAACAGTGGCATGATATGAACAAGTGTAAACGCAAGGGTGGGCGGTGCAAAAAATCTGTACACCCCCTTTTTTCAAGAATTTATCACAAATTCAAATGTTAAATCCAAATGAAAAATGACTATCCACTACAACATATGAGGAAACGGAAACGAGAAAACAACATGAAAAACTGTGAGGGAGAGCGATAAGCTGGCCATAACACAAGAGAGCCAGTGTGACACTTGTTTTTTTGGCATAATGCACAGAAAGTGTTTCTCTTGCTCAGTTATTTTCTTGTATGGCGAGATTGAGAGAGAGAGAGTAACAAATCATGAATGAAAAAAGGGATAGAGACATCAATTTCGACATTTTTTTAATAAAAACCAATTAAAAAATTTGCAAAAATTAAAAACAAATAAAATGATTATGATATGTATATATATGTATGTATGTACGTAAATAAATGTATAGATAGCAGCATAATAATTATGTAGAGCCTTACACATATTTCTCACTGATAAAACTCTGTAGGCAGTAAAAGAAAGCAGCAGATACGAAAAAAAGGAAAAAAGATTGTACACATAAAGAGAAAAAATAAAGTGAGCAAAACCAATGAGATAACAAAGTGTATGGGTGTCTCCACGAAGTAATGTCAAACTAAAATGAAGTGATACATATTTGTTACATAATTTATGCTTTAAAATGTAAATCAAGTAGCCTGGCCATACAGTAAACTCTCAAAAACCATTCAAAGCTACTCAAGGTAATTGATTTTGTATGTTCTTTTAAGAAAGGCTTATTTTGGATCCTAATTATTTGAAAGTAGTTGTTTTATGCTTCTCCATGTTATTCCATCAACTTTAAAAGGAGAAATATATTCGTTAAGAAATAATAAATAATAGATGTTATTACATTTTTGCCGAATGAAACTGAATTTGGTAAATTACTTCATCTTTAGGCCCTACTTATTTTCAAAAAAAAACTCAGCAAAATAATTTACTTTGCTGAAAATAGGTATGGAAGAAAGAATACCACGGTAATAATAATTGTAAATCCTCTACATATTTTAAAGCTATTTTCAAATTCCCATTACAACACTTATCAGCAACACATAACTACTCTCCTTTCTTCGAAACAAAATCTCCATGCAAACAACCATACATACGGGAAAAATATTAACTTTGTTCTCTGTGCAAAGGACGAACATTGTAGTCCAACCACCCACTACTTTTTGCTTAGAGAGCCTCCTCACAAGGAATTACGATGTACGTAAGTGTAAGGCTATTATCTAGCAGAGCGACAATACAACGAACATTAGGCTCAAAAGAAAATGTCACAAGTAGAACGAACATTGAATGGCAACCGAATCGAGGGAAAATGCCATTGATTTTTCCAAACGACGACAATCGTATTTGGCATTGGCTTACAAAATCCAACGATGTGGTGTGCTGATGTTGTATTGTTGCAAGGAGAAAAAGGGGGCGGAGTCACATAAGAACCCCTTATACATGACTGTGTGTGGACAACAACTACAACGTCGACTGTGACAGTTATGGGGCGACATTGATTATTCCCCAAAAATAAAAAGAAAAATGTTACAATGACCATTAGGAAAACTTTCAGGACTTTTTTTCAAAAATCATACTTACTTGCCCACGAAATTTTCCAATACTGAACTTTTACCGGCCGACTGACCACCTACCACAGCAATCTGTGGCAGATCCAGCTGCATGTGAACGCCCAACTGGGTGAAGGCATCCTGCAGCTTATTAACAATGGGAATCAATGTATCCATGATGACGATTTGGTAATGGAGTGGTGTAAAACTGGAACAAAGTTACTTCCTCCCTGGAGCCAAGGAGTTTTTGGAAGCGAAGAACGGTTGAGGAAAATTTCCAACACCTAAAAGGTGTTAGAAATTTTGGGTTTTGTACTTTTGGTTCGTCTGTTTTTTCGGTAGCCTTTTATTTGTTACACTTCAGAGAAGATTTTCAATTGATTTGCTAGAATTTTTACAACAATTTATTAATAAAATTTGATAATTTTTTACAATTCTCTCTTTTTTTCACTGAGGGTTCAAATCTTTGGTATCTATCGGTTACGAATCATTTACACGACTACGACTAAAGTTTCGATTTTTCCTTCATGTGAGGAGAGAGTGGCGAATGGCTGAATGTTGGACACTTAATCGTTCTCTGTTTTCGAGGGTATTCTGCTCTGCGCTCTCAAGTCCAATAAGAAGAATGGAGCATAAAGCGCAAATAGGCAATGACATTTAACATTGTCAGAATTGGATGACATGCAAGCAAAAATAGCAAAAAAAATGGGGGAAAACAGGAAGAGACACAAAACACAAAGGATGCTATTAAATGGAAAACACTGCGCACTTGATGTCTCGAGGATTTTAACGTTTCCAATGTCACTTAAGTGCATAACAACATTTAACACATTCACCAATTTGCATTAATGGGAAACCGAATTTTTTTAACCGATTAAAACTGTCGAAAGCTGTGTGATTCATCGGAGTCTTGAAAAAAAAGAGAGAAAGACATCAACAACAATACGAAATACGGAACACAGAAATTCTTTCTTCGCGAGGCAAAAAAATATTATTTTTTATATGCAATTGAACCGTTATTAGTTTTTACTTCGCCTTTCCGCCTCTTGGAATGTATTTGTAATGAATTTACAATAAATTTTGCTACAAAACAATTTCAAGAGCAACAAAATTTTTTCGCCGATCTGAATGAAGAAACTTGGAACGAAAGTATGAAGTAGAGCTGGCAAACAATTGATGGAATTGTTCTCTTTTGCGTTTTGTACGTCATTCTGTTAGTTGAATTCCCTTTTGAGTTGTATTCTACTAGTTTACTTCCTTTTTGAACTACATTCGGTCGCCTTAGTGTTGCCAAGATATGATTAGTGTTGCCAAACCAAATTACATGGAGTTTACACAAGGAAAGTTGTCCAGAAATACAACTCTGTTTAATGCACGACCACACAATAGATAGCCGACGACATGCAAAGAATGCATTGGAAATATTGCAGAAATATGTTAAAAAATGACGAAAAACGGCGGAGGAAAGCATCAGATGTGATTTACATGGTCTCAACAACCTATTCCAGAGCATTTCCTTTTTCATTGAACGGATAAACATCATTTGTTTAATCAAAGAAAAAATGAAATGGTGATCTTATTTTACGTCTTTCAAGTTACTCATCTCATATGGTAGAAAATATTCTTTTGTATTCTTCTACCATGCTCATCTCATAAGTATAATATTAAGTTCACCCATGGCAAAATTAAAAAGGTAAAGTCATCCCAAATATGCATACCCATCTCTGCATATTCTGTAATAACATAGTCAAATGTCACTGCTTAAAAAATAGGTTTCCATCTCTGTATAATTTCCGTAATTAATGTAGATAATCGAAAAGTTAGTGACGAAATACCTACCGATCGATACCAATGTTTATTTTTTATAAAAAAATGTTGGGTTTCAAAGATACCGAATTTTGTCGGTAACTACTGATTTGAGTATTCAAAATTAATTCATAAATATATGTTTAAACAATGAGATATTGTCAAATGAATAATTTTGAAAAATATGTAAACATTTGATTGCATGACTTTACCTTCTTGGTTCTAACCATGGTACAATAAGCAGGTAGAACAGCTTCTTAAAACTACAGAAATGCAGCCCTGAGGCAATGCCCGCTTCCTGTCAGATTCATTCAAAAATTTGTTTTACATTTTTTTCATATTTTTTCTCATTTTTAAAATGGGTTAAATAGCGCGAAAATGAATGAAATGCCTGGATTTTCTCTCAAAAATATGATCCAAACTGTCCAATCTTCCAATTTCATGGCTAAACTAGTTTACAGCTTTAATGCGCGAGCCGCAATATACGTGTCTTCCAATCATTGGTTTTGAAAATATTTTGTTTTCATTTTTCAAAACAATAAATACATACACAAAATTGGCAGAAGCCGGGCACACTTAGAAAAAAATTGTAATCAGCTGGTCCAATAATTTGTACAAATTTGAATAATTTTTCATTCAAAATTTTCAATTTTAAATTTGTTTTGACAGTTCATTGTCCCAGCAGCTGTGTCGACGCGTCTACCTATATTCTTCTACCATGGGTATTCTTCTTGCTTTTGGAATGAATTCCATAATTTTATACATTATTGGTTAGCAATATTAAACTGTTTTAGCATTTATTGTCTTTGTATATGTTTGTATTGTAAGTGGTAGTAAAATATATGTCTGATCCATGATCAATGTTCCTATATAAACGCCAGATACATATAAAACCTCTCCATGTCAAACTTTTTTTGGCCATACGTCGTGGCATCATCGTTGCTAATTAGAAAATCCAATGAAGTCGGTTGCATTTGCCGAGTTACTGTTCAATGGCAACTGTCAAAAACCGGAACCAACGAGCAACTGTCAACTGGCTGTGTGATTTCTTTTCGTTCTAAATTTTTTAAACGAAAGTTGTGTTTTTTCTTGTGCTGTACACGTTTCGTGTCAATAACAAAGGCTTAAAAGTATGTAAATAATGTGAAATCGATTAAAATGGCAAAATAAAAGCAACTGAAATAAAATCCAAGAGAAATTGTGTGAATTTAACGCAAGATGTTTGTGATAAAAGGAGATAAAAAACTTTGTGCGTCCTTTGAAGATTTCAGTTGCAAATTTTGTGGATAATTTTCTTGATGTGTTGGGAATTGTAATTTTTAATTGCGCATTTATTTTTTTTTCTTATTTTTAGAATGCGTTACGTGGCTGCATACATGTTGGCTGTTCTCGGCGGTTTGGAAAACCCCAAAAATGCTGATATCGAAAAGATCCTCAGCTCTGTTGGTATTGAAGCTGACAGTGAACGCTTGACCAAAGTTGTCAGCGAATTGAACGGCAAGTCTGTTGAAGAATTGATCGCCACCGGTCGCGAGAAGTTGTCTTCCATGCCCGTTGGTGGTGCTGTTGCCGCTGCTGCCGCTCCAGCTGCTGGTGCCGCTGATGCTGGTGGCAAGAAGGAAGAAGCCAAGAAAGAAGAAAAGAAGGAAGAATCCGAATCTGAAGATGACGATATGGGCTTCGCTCTTTTCGATTAAATTCGTTGTTCTAGCCAACCACAACTTCAGCCATAAGACAACAACAACTGCAACTATGGTCATTAGCGTGGAAAAACTTGTCGAGGTGAGTGTTGATCATAGTATGTGTTCACAAGTGGGGTAGTAAACAAAAATGTGGGGGTCCAAACTTGACTTTGAAAAATGTAAACAAAGTCAAGTTCAATAGTTCAGATTTGGGATCAACATCTTCAAATTGATTTAGTTCCTATGATGAACAAAACTTCACACCATCTTTCGACTGTACAATCGTTGATGTTATATAAGTTTCACTGATAGTTTTTTGTTTACATATATTTATTTTTAGATTTTCGAGCAAAACATTTTCTAATGAATCACTTTTTTGTGTTTTCTTTTTTTCAGCTTTTTTAACCAACAAATATTGTTCCTTTCCTCAGTCGATGTTACCAGCCTTCATTAAACAGCCGGTTTAAATACAAACAAATTAGACTTTCTTTTTATAATTTTCACAAAAAATTATAAAGGAATTTTCTGTTTTTAACCAAAACACTTGACTTTAAACCAGTACAAAAAAGATTGAGATTTTTATTTCTATGAAATAAAAATGTAGCAAGTTTTTACACGTTAAAGAAAAACAAAATAAGAATTTTTATGTTCATATCAGGAAGGGAATATCGTCCAGATGACTGGATGGGATGTGGTTTTTAAAGGGTAGAGTGTTGGGTTTCTGTTTTCAGGTGGTGGCTGAGAGGTGATTCTGGGAACATGATGTTTGACATTTATCTGGAGGGCAGCATATTTTTCAATTGCAAAGGTGAGTTTGGTTTTTATTTTTGGCAATTGCGGTTTATAATTGATCTCAAAATTATTAGAAGTTTTCAAAGTGAATTTGAATTGCATTTTAAACCGTGACCCTGCCGCCCATTAGCTTTTTAATGTGATGATCATTTTACCATTACCATCTTTCGACTGAAAATTGTTGATGTTAATTTTTTTTACTGACAAAAGCTAATAAAATATTTTAAATTTGCTATTATTTTATATTTGCTAATGAATGTTTTTTTATTGCAATTGCAGGACGCCCAAAAATTTGACCGAGAATCCCTCAAACAATTTGATTTATAAAAAAGGTGAGTTCCAAACTTCAAATTTTTTCCTGCAGTTGAATTACTTACCTTCATGATGATCACTTTATCCAATACCATCTTTCGACTGATCATTTTGATGTTCATTCTTAACTGATTACAAATAAAAATTTAATAAAATGAGATATTATTTTGCAACATCACTGATTTTCTTTTTATTTCTTCTTATTGCAGATTGATGTTTTTTCTAACCAAGTCTGTCCAGTTCAATTTGCCAGCTATATGGTTCTGATTGGATTTGCAATCATGTATGTGATATAAATCGAATCTAGGCGTTGAACTTAGACTATTTTAAAAATATTTTTAAATTTGAATTGGTTTTCAGAAGAAAAATATATCATCGCATTGAATCGATTTATATATCACATAAATGAATGCCTCGAATTGTTTGGGAACGTAAGCAGACCATGGTGGGCAGTCATTCTTATTAAATATTGATCCCTTACGACGTAATAATATTGGTCCTTTAAGTTTTAATCATTTATCTTGCAGCATTTTTAATTGATCAATAAAAAATTAAAACAATATTTTGAGTTTTTCGTCTGGGTGGGTAACCTGAGGACTGGGATGAACATTTTCGAGTTAGCATTCCAAAATGTGTGGTAGAACATCGTAAAGGACAGCCCTTCGATTTGATCCTCTCATGGAAGTACTATAGAATTATGAAGATCTCATGTGAAACACTTATAGAGATCCTTACAGAAACGTCTCTAGATTTTTAGAGCGAGTTGAGTTTAAGGGCTATGCTCGGATTATTTTGAAATGGATACATTATGGGTATTATTAAGATCTATATGCTACATAATAGCCTATATTTTTGCCTTGCCAAATATCTCTTATAGTTCCAAAGATATTTGGGATGCAAATCACGAAGAGATCGAATAACCGGGTATTTCCCCATAAAAAATTACTTTGCCGTAATCAGGTTGAAAAGATCTACACTTGGTAAAAATTTCAGGTCAGTCCGAGCATAGCCCCTAAACTCAACTTAAGCCCATAGGCAACTCTTGTCATAAGCCATTACAAAAATTCGGTAAATAATGTAGCTAAAATCATCAAAATTCCGAATATTGGCAGATACCGCTATATGAGGGCTATACCAAAACGTGGACCTGTACAGACAATTTTCTGTCATAGGCGGTAGTATCCATTACGAACTTCAATTACCAAATTTGAAACAATTCCGGTGAATAATGTCGCTAAAATCATCAAAATACAGAATATGGGGAGGTACCGTTATATGGGGGCTATACGAAGGCGCGGAGCTGTCATAGGCTTTAGCATCCATTAAGAACTTCAAATACCAAATTTGAAACATTTCCGGTGAATAATGTCGCTAAAATACCGAATATCGGGAGGTACCGTTATATGGGGGCTATACCAAAACGTGGACCTACATGGTCCATTTTCAATACCAAAAGTCCTGCAGACATAATATACAGGGTGAGGTGAAAAAACTGCAACCAACATCTGACTGCTGTCATTTCTAAGCCACTCGTCCGACAGCTGTTAAAATTATCCCAATGACAGCTCATTATATTGTTTACAAGCCTACAAAAGCATTTTGGTGAGAATTTTCCAGAAAAAAGTTATTCGTGATAGTGTGATTTCCTTATATTTCGCTAAATGTACTCCAGCATTTAAATGTGAATAAATCTTTTGTGTCTCGTGCCATCGCTCGTTACCGGCAAATATTGAAAAATGAGCTCGGGGTAAAGCCATTGAAATTCCAAAAAGTGCAAGAACTTACACCGCAACTGAAAGAAAATAGACTCAGAAGAGCTAAAGAGTTGCTTCGCTTGGCCGAAAGTGGTGAACAGCTGAATTTGGTTTTCTCCGATGAGAAAACATTGTTTGTCCAGCAGTTTGTCGGAAGCTAGAATGCAGTTACTGGAACAGAGCAATAGTTAAACACTGCTTGTTTCTATCAATTTTTTCTTTTTTTATCAGAAATTTATTTTAATTAAATTTATTTCTATAGCGGATGCAATAATTTGGCCTTAGATCTTCAGAGGTTTTCGCAGAGAATTATTAACTGTTTTGTTTTGTAACGAAAAGCCCAGGAAATTCTTATAAAATGTTATATACACCTTCACCCAGAAATGTCTACTAAATGTCTCCAGAAAATTCTCTATATCTAGATCGCAGGAGATGTGATAAACTCTCAGATCCGTTGATATTTACAGATAAGATGCTGGAATTTCCCACAAAAGGTTTCTAGATTCTCTCCCATGAGATAATCACATTGATAGGCATGCATAAAATCTACATATGATCTCATAAAAGTCCTGTAGATTTTCTTGAAAATTTCCATTTGATATGTGACAGGCTCCCAAAGAGTCACCAATTAAAAAATTCCACACATTAACACAATAATTTAAAGATTAGCTTTATTTAAAAGATTTCGTTTCATTTAAAATGTCATCATAGGAATATGAAATTAAGCATCAACATATAACAAAAGTAACATAAATAGGCACAGGACCATAGAAAATTTAAAGGAAATGTGTCATAGTAATACAAAATTAAATACACAAAGCCATGTAAAGAAACAGAAGAGAAACAAATGGTGAATACATAAAAAAAAACTTAAATATAATTAGGAAAAATATACATTAACAATAAGTTATAGAATGTTTCAATGTTTAATTTAGGACATTCAATTTTGTTTATAGGAAAATAGAAAAAAGAAAATAAAAAACAAAATATTTTCCAATTTCTTTGCCTTTTGCAGAATTGAATGCCGCCTAAATTAAACGTTACCATTTAGCATTACACAAGGTGTAAATTCTCTAAACAAAAATAAAGAATAACAATTATAACATTATAGTAAGCATAACTATTACTACCATAATATGTATATACGTATGTATTTATTTCATAAAATTCCAATTTCAAGCACCACCACCACCACCACCAACCATTCTGCATTTGGCGGAGTAGTGAGGGACATAAACTCCTAAAATTAAATAAAACCAGTATCCAGTTAGAATATATTTGCCGATGCTCTTAGACGCGTTTAATAGGGTATTTGGTTTTGATAATACTGGATCATATCGTAGGTTCGTGTTCGGAAGTTCTGATAAGAATTGCGTATAACTGCCAGCATGTGGGCAGCTGCCTCTTTATTATTTTTGGTTGAGACAAATCGTTGCTTCAGCAAATTAATTGTTTGACCTCTAAAGCAGGGTAAACCCGTGTCCAACATTAACGATACCAAAGAAACAATGGCGTCCTGATAAGGACGCACAGCCAAAAAGGCCTGTACACACAACTCACAGAACCATTTGAAAGCGGGTGCCTCCATTTTGCCACCCATTATCATAACCATTTCGTCGGTCAGCTTCATGTCGGGCTCAAAGCCAATGTTGCCACCGGGCGAAGATTCAAACATAAAACCGAAATCTGTTTCAAGACAAATGCAAAACTCAAATCAAATCCTACAATAGATTCGCACAGCGCGTCAACCTTACCAATGTGGATAATGTGACCATCCTTGTCGATCATGATATTGCCATTGTGACGATCCTTGATTTGCAGCAGATAGCCAATCAATGAGTAGGCCGCCATGGATTTGACAAAGTTCGCCCGAGCAGCCTGGAATTCCTTGGAACTTTCGTCGCCATACTGATGCAGGAAGTATTCATACAGGCCGGAATCTGTTTGGCGACCCAGTTGGTCACGTGACTTGGCGTTTGGCACACATTCGATAACACCACACTGAAAACAGAAACCCAATTAAATTTAGAGTTGCAATACTCCTTCTCACAGAAAACTTACTCCTGGTGCGGTGGCTACAACACGATATGGAAACAGGAAAAGATCCAAACCAACTTGCTGGAATATATTCTTGAAAATTGTAATAACCTGTAGTGCCAACATGTCCTGACGCACATCATCGCCCACCTTGAAAATGGCGGCTTGCCACGATTCCACGCCCAATGTCATTTTGGCATCCTCTTGGGAATTCTAAACGAAAAACAACAATTACTGGAAAATAATGCAAGGCCAAATTTCAATACCTACCGGATTATTAGACACCTCCATGGCTCTGGTTTCCAGCTCCGTTATGCCACAACGATACACCCGGAACCTGGCCAAATATGGAGCCTTGGCTGCACTTTGCATGGGTGTTCCACTGTTATAGTCAATGTCCAATACCATGGCTTCCGGATTCGAGGGCAAATAACATCCCGACTGGACTTTAATTCGACTCAAGGCAGCCAGACAGGCATTCTTACGTTCCATTCCCTTGGGGAAGTTACGAATTTCTCCCGACACTGCTGTGATTTTGCCAAAGAAATCAAATTCGCGCTCATAGAACCGCTTGGCCGATCCCGAAAATGAGGCAATTATATTGTGGCTCAAAGCTTCCAGAGCTTCATATAAATAGGGATCCCTGTGTTGCTGGTCTTCGTCCATGTACATATTGGTTTGCATATTCCAAATCAGCTGATGGGCAACGATCTGGGAACGCTTCGAGATGAATTTAATCAATTCGGTAACATAGCCCATGGTATCGTGTCGAAGGGCCTGTACCAACTGTGGAATGTAAGGTAGAACAGATTCGGCCGGATAAGAGTTGAGGGTCTTGACAGCATATTGGGCTGTCAGAGGATGTGAGGGATATTGGCGCGAGAAGTAGGCCAAGGCTTGTATGGGATTGACTGGCGACCATACCAGAATATACATCAAATCTGGACTCTCGTGCAGTAGATTCTTGGTTGTGGCCAAGTATTTGAGAGCCTCTGGAATGTCACACACAGCAATGGGATCCAAACACACTAGTCGGGTAACTTCTTCCTCGATAGATTCGGCATTTTTGATGCGCGAAGGTAGAAAAACGGCCAGTGCTGGATTGTAAGACCATGCCAAACGGGCAAAATCTCTCCAAACATTTACCTTGTAAGGACGATTACGCCATTCCGTAATTTGTTCTTCGCCCGGAATGGCCAAATCGGGCAGACTGTTCGGATTGTACCAGGTTATGAGGAACTCAATTTCGACCGCCATCAATTCCAATATCAAATTACGTTTCTTCATGTAGTCCTTGTCGTAGGAGTCCTTGGGGTAGGGTAAACGCTTGGAGCGATTTGAACGCTTCGATAGGGTGGATGTCGAATGCGGTATAGAGTTATACCAACCACCAGTGCCAGCAATGGACGAAGATCTTCCTGCCTCGCCGGTGCTGATGAGGGATGCGGTTTCGGGATTTTTGGTAACGCTTAGCATTTGATTGGGTGTGGTGGCGGGTATGTCATAGTCACCCACTTCCGATGTAACCAAATGCTTCTTCTCGCTGCGCATGGTTTGCCAGAACTTCAACAGTATCAATATGTCCTCCAACAGCTGTTCCTTATTTTGATTGGGACACGTGGGAGGGCCACAGAAATAGTCCAGGGCATTGCTGTAGATGCGTTCTCTTAAAATATTTCTGGCCAAGGATTTGGGTACGGTGTTGCCTTGCAGCAGCGACAGGCCACATTGTAGAAGTTTGAAACGGCAACCCACCGTGGAGACTTGGCGATTCTGTTTGCTATTCTTGTTAATGGGAAGACATCGGTGCAGCAGCAAACAAAACATTTCCACTTTATCGCGATTACAGTACTTGGCTGTGTCCACCATTTCCGAAAGCAGCTGCAGCCATATTAGATGAGGAGTGACTAGAATGGATTTGGAGACCAGTTTACAGCCCTCGTAGGCTGCCAAGGGACTGGTGATTTCCACCTCCTCAGCAAACAAGCCGATTTTCTTTTCAAAAGTTGTTTGCCAGGCAGAAACCATTTCCTGAATGAAGCACAGCTCCAAGTCTTGGCGGGCCGTCAACACCCATTGCCAGCATTCGACAGCAGTTTCCATTGCAGATTCAGTGAACAATTCAACTTGGGACGTGGCTGAAAAACAAACATTTTAATTTCGAGTCTTTGCGTAGCATTGCCTTAACTTACCCACAGCATGCAACAGCTTCCTATTTATGTCAGAGCATATGATTAGGTAAGCTGTTGCCCTCCACAGGGCTCCCCGGTGTCTGGCATCACTTTTCTCTCTGCATGCCTCCCAGACATCGTTGACCAAGCGATCGGCCAAACCAGCCTTTTCTTCATCGCTCAGAACCGACAGCAGACCCGATATTTCACCAGCGTATTTGCTGCGCAAACACAAAACCGAAACAAAGCGGGGAGTATCGGACTTTACACAGGCCGGACGTTTGCTGTTCGATGGCAATGCATTTGGATGGTAGCTATTAGTGCTGACGACAGAGTCGAAAGCCAAGGCCAAACCACTGTGGTGCGACAAGACCTGGGTCGGAATTTGATTCGGATATTCTTGTAAATGGGATTTTGTTGAACGTGGCGCCCACTTCATGGCCTCATTAACAATTCCCTGACAGCGATCAGCAAAATCTTTCAGACGACCTTCTCGTGCCGGCAATGAGTCCATTAGTTGCAGGGTATACGGTGTGGAGACCACCCTCAAAGTAGGCGTCTCCTCATTTGGATCCAGGGTTAAGGAGAAGGCTAGCAATTGTAGAATATCCAACATGCACCACAGCACACGACGATTCCATAGCAAGTGTGGGAATTTATCCACCAACTGGGACAGATATTGATCAGCCACCACCTGTATCTGCTTGTGTATGTGATTGAAATAGACCAACAGTAAAGTGGCCTGGGACTCCAAAACCTTTTCACGGATCTCGTCACGGGTAAACAGGACATTACGGAATTTTTCAAAAACTTGATCAGCAATGCTACAAAATAAACCAAGTGATTGTGAACAACAACAACGAGCAATTGTGCCACCATACTTACCACTTGACACATTGCCATATCCCTGACTTGTCTTTCTGCAGGGCCGGGTCGCAGAGATACGTTAGAATTGGCTCCAAACTTGGCTCCTCGGCGTTCTCAACACGCAACGTTTCCAGCCAATAAACACTCAACAAAAATGTGCACTGGGCAAAGGAGAGTTTGTTTATGGCCGCCGTCACCTCTGCTGTAGGATGCTCCAACAACAATACTATATCACTTCTCAATTCGTTCAGATTGCTCGTTTCGCTCTTAATTGCCGAGGTGTAGTTCAGCTCACGCATATCCGACTTGTGGGTGGTCTGTGATATCAACAGGGGAGACTTTGCGGCAATTTGTTGAACTCCCATATACCACTCGGGTGACCAGAGACGAGCATTTGTGAAACCCATGACCACACAATAGACCCAAAAATCTTTGAATAGTTTGTGTAAACGCAAACGGGGATTTTTTATGGGCGGCAGGCGCTTGAGTAGCACAGCGATTACCGGTATCAACATACCCAAATGGCCGGCACTCGAACGGGATTTTGCCACCCCAGGCGTATTGTCATAGGAACGCTCTCCCTCAAGGCCGATTTGCACAAAGAGTTCAAGCAATTTGCCCAGCAATTCTAATTTCTCGTCGTCCCCTTGAATATTGGCGGCAATGTTGCCCAGAGCATTGACCACAGCATCGGAAACGCTAAAGAATTGTTTGCGGTGTTCGGGATCCGAGGTGTAAGCCAAGGAGGCCGATTGTACGGCAACGCGTGAGAACATTTTCATGATCTCATCGAAAACATGCGGCTCACACTGCGAGATAATCATGCAGCCGAGCTGGTCGACAATCAAAGCATTCTGTTCGGAAGGCACTTTGCAGAAACGTTGGATAAAGAACTGCAAAATGTTTTGTGTGGTTTTGGAGGTGTCCTTCAAGGCCACAGCCACGTGACCCAGCATGACAATGATGTTCAGGCTAACCAAAGTGGATTCCCTGTCGAAGAAAATGTTGGTAAATGTTTAAGAGTTTTTCGATTCATTTTACACTTACGATTCATGTTTCTCTGCAGTAAACAAACGATTGGATACATTCGCCACCAGGGCTGGCACACAGAACTGATCTACGGGCTGGGCTGCCCTAAGGGCAATACTCAAATTTTCAATGGCTGCATCCCGTAAAGCCTCAAAAGCTGCTTGTCCTGTTCGTAAGGGGGCATATTTTTGTCCTTCTCCGAATATATCTACTGTAGAACGGGACTCACTGTTTTGAACGACAATTTTGAAGGGGGTCACGTCTTTTTCCTTTTTCTGCAGGGCCAACAATTGCTGTGAATGGGCATGAAGTTTAGCCAATATTTGACTTGGGTCAACAAGGAAGTCTCTCAAATACGATATCGATGTGTTGGCAATATTGGGGAACTTTTGAGCCAATTTGCCCAAACCTTCCAGGCAGACCATTAGCAACGGCATATGGTCCATGACGATCTTGTGGGACAGTACGGAGTTGAGTTTTTGTGAAAGGCGGCCACAAAGCTTATCGGCCTCTGTAATATACAAGGTAATGGTTTATTAATAAATTAGCTTTCTCTTGGATTCTGTAACTCCACAATGTGACTGGTTTCAAGAAGAAGGTAGAGAACAAAATGCACAGCACATCTGGATATTAAGAAGTATCATTCCGTGTTTCTTTGGTACATGTTATTATGACTGGCATCCGTTTTGATGACATTCGATTGAAATTGGAATTAGTGGCGAAACGAATGCAAACTCAATGGATTTACAAATGAAATGAAGCTTTTTTTTAAATGGTTTGAAAAACTCTTTGGGAAAGTTATGAATGAAGAAAACATTTGTACAAAACAAACAAATAAACATTTTGAGAAATAAGAAGAGGGGATCAGTAAACATAACAGGGAGAAAGAGAGTAAAACTATAAAAAATTGTCTTGTTGTTTTGAACGAAAAACTTAAACCTTTTTGCATTAAATAATGTAAAGCATACTGCAATGAAGGTACATTGTACTCCTCATCAACTGTAAATTGAAAGAAAAAAATTAAGAAATCATAAAATATTTCGAATTTGCTAGATACTTTCATGTTTTTTGTTTTTTGGACTAACTGGGATCGAAACGCTCTTGATAGGAGTACACTTTTTCAGCAGCCAACTTACCGGTTTCATCTCGTATTGCCCAGACAAGTAAATCGACACATGCCGCATTGGCCATGACATTCACCTTGTATTTATTGACAACGGGTATGCCGTTCTCCTCCCTCTTTTCCCTCTCCTGGTCCTGTTGCTTGTTCTGGAGCTCTGTCTGGCCATTTAAGAATAAACGTTTCACAAACTCCTGCACATCTTTGGTAAATGGTGCCGGCAAATCGATTTGATGTTGCAATATTTCCCTTAGCAATGTGACCAGAACTAAATTCAGAGTTTCCGAGAAACTCTTGTAACAATAACCCTTAATTTGGTGTAATGCAAAGATATCGCTTGCTTGCTCGTCCAAGTGCTCCAAAGTTTCTTTGGTGAGTAGTTTTTTGGCCACGGCAAATATGGTCTGCAAATGTTGTATGGGAAATGGTGGCATAGTTAGGGACTTTTGATGTTTAGTGGGTGTCTCTGTTACACGCATATTGGGGAATTGATTGAAGCTGGAGCCATATCGAGTAAAGAAATGGGTGCGTGGGTCATAGGGGACCGAGAAGTATGTATGTAATTGGGGTTTTTGTTTATTCATGTGGGTGGCCATGGACATGTGCCGCATTTTAATTTCATACGATTCTTGACTGAGGCTCCCCGACATGGAGCGTGGTATAATGGGACGAAAGTGGGCAAAATGCAAACGTTCATTGGAGCTGTGACTGCCGCCATCTCGGGGGTTGGGTTTTACCACAGGCATTTGTTCACGTGGATAGATGCGGCAAAGCAATGGTGGATCGTGTGAGGCATAACGGCCCATGGATCGCGCCAAACCGAAAAGCAAAGGCACCGTTGCTTTACACAGTATAATAGGGGGCGGGGCTGAGCTACTCTCTTTGCTGGACTTTATAATATTAGCCAGAGCACTCAATGTCTCCACTTGGTTTACAATAATCTCTTCCCTTAGCTCTGGACATTTTGAGGCAATGTCTGACAGCAAGGTGTTGAGACAGAAACTAAACTTTTCTGCCGATGGTATGCCTGTAAAGATGGTTTTGCATTACTCACAGTGTCTCGCAATATAGCAATGAGTCATACTCACGGTCAGTTTTACTCCATTTTCCATCATCAACCCAAACAGCCTTGGGCAAACATTTGGCCAGTCTCAAGAGATAGGGTACAATGCGATCTTCGTGTTGGCAACCACTCTCCAGGAAATACAAACCCAAGGCGATGACGGCATCTTGGGCACGGGAATCCAAACAGAAGACACCTGCTGCATTTTCTTGGGGGCAATAACGAAACAGGGACTGAACCTGAAACACGATATTTATCAGTCTGTGCTTGTTTTTCCAACCAGAAAACTAAAACTAGTTATGATAACTATGAGATATCAAGGTCAAATTCCAGCACACACAAAACGAAAAGTCAATATTTTGGTTGACTTGCTGGTCGGTCAATGACGATGATGAAACCAAGCTACAAACCTTTGGCCACGGCGTTGGTTTGATTTGGGCCAATATACGTGCTAAACTTTGCACTGTTTTTTGATAGGAGAACTTGTCTGCCATTGTAGCAGACATTTTTCCAAAATTTATTTGTATCCCAGCAGCAGATTTTTTTCTTTTTTCGTTCACACTGGTCAGTAGAGGTGGCAAACAATCGATGACAAAAACGATAATATTGATAAATTTCAAAGGGGGTTTCGATTTATAGTTTTTTTTTCTCGATATTTGTTCTGTTCCAGAGAGGGCAAATTTGCAATGCTAAAATTTTACAACGATAACCGAATTTTTCCCTTAATAGTAATATTAATATTCCGTTCCAAAACTTTAACGAATATACTAGATTTTCAAGTTCTTTTTTGATATTATTTGCTTTGTTCAGGAACCTGTTACTACGTTAAACTATTAATACTTGAGGGTTCTGAAGAAGAGTACATGAGATCGAAGATTCTTTGCATGGCACATTGAAGACAAGTTAGGACAAGTTCCAAAAAAGTTCTGCTGGAGAGACACTTGTCAAACATTTTGAAAATATTGTCGAAATTTACTTTCGTTTGAATGTACATATGCCATTCAACATTGTAGTTTTCGTTCATAATCTGTTATGGTTACCACCTTATGCGGTACTGTGGTGTGTATCCAGCTGCTCAGGGGAGCTTTTTGCTCAGGGTCGGTTCCAACCCTGACACCAACAGTCCAAGGGACCTAACAATTAAAAAAAGGGGACATATTACAACATCAAAACAAACAAAAATACAAACACTGCATACACCGGTGACAAGGGTGCTTGGTGGAAGTTGCACCCACACTTAGCCCACCCAACCTTGACCCTTTTGTCCAGTAATTTTTAAATATTTAAGGGCCCCGCATTCCACTAACACTTACCACACAACTTACATCCTATATTCCCCCAAGAGTTTACAAATTAGCACATCATATCGACTATTAACACTTACACATATAAATAATTTATTGACATATCGAGAGTTGACTTAATCCTAACAAATAAATATTTGAACAATGTTGACTTTAAAATTCCTAACACCTGAATCTGTCTTTATGTGAGCCAATCGCTCGGGCTACTACAGTCTACGAAGAGTACATAAAAATTTTTGCCAATCTGGCCACTTTTTGCATCTACTCCCTCCCTAATAGAGCTCTGTTAAGGGGGTATTATGGACGTGACCTTATGTCCAAAATTACCAATAAACTGGAACTCTCCCTTCGTATGACGGTCTAACCCTACGCTCAGGTATATAACCGGGCGTTAGAAATTTTCACAATATAAAAATCTTAACCTAAATTCTATACACTAAGGACAATCACACTTAAACTACAGACAATTACATTAAATTAAACTAGTCAGTACAAAATTTTGGTGTCATTCCATTTTTCATTCAAATTAATTATTAATCAAAATTCTCTTCTTTTTTTCCAGGCCGCAGGAGGAAGATATATATGCCACTTGGCCGCACCAACCGTTCAGGACTCGGTAAGTTTTAATAATACAAATTATTACCTGGAGATTCTGTACTTATATATTTTCTTTTCTTTCCAGATATTGATGATCTTTTTGACCTTTTCGGCATCAGACCTACCGAGCCGACCACTGTTTGAATACCGGTGCTTTGGCGGACCGGGGCTTGGCCTCACTCACGGACTTTCTGGGCAGCAGCGCTTCTCTTGCGTTTATATAAAAAAAAAATCCGCTGACCTCCTCCACAGACAAATTGGAGGGGTCAGAATTCTAGCCGTTTTCACGTTGGGTGTTGTCTTAAAAAGAAGAAACACTTCATAGAAACACCAAAAGAAAAACATACACTATTCGAACAACAAAAACTTACAAATTCTTGGTCACACACACACATACACAATAAACAGCAAATAAAAAATAAAAATTACTGAAAATTTCCTTCCAACTTTGTGTTTTAATTGGTTCACTTATTTGATTTTCAGTTAAGAAACAATTTTATTTTCCGTCCACCAAAACTTCAATGGCGAATTTTCTCTCCGTTACCCCTTTTATACGGGAGCCATTAGACGCGATTTTCCCACTTTTCCATATTTTTTTTGTTCTTCCTTGTTTATTATGTTCCTCTTTAATCGCACTTTGGGAACCCTATCGTCACCCATGGTTGCATTTGACGTTAGTCCCATGGACTAAGGGGAACATTGGCAACACTTTGACACCCAACCGTATCCGGTTCATTCATTTTTCATTTCATTAATTGCGAATGTAAAAACTTCGCTCCGCCGGTAAAAAAATAATCTTCGTCAACCACGGTACGCACGCAACAAAACTTCGCCATTTTCACACAAAAAGTGAGAAAATGGTGATGTGCGTTACTGGATTGTGATATTTTCCTGCAAAGCATCAGGATCAAATAATTTATTACAAAAGAAGAATGGATTTTGATCCACAAAAAAAAACACGCTGCTGTGCTCCCACATTGACTTGGATATATGGGTAAGTATATAAAATTTCATTTATAATAATTTTATAGACATAGAATAAAATAACATATTTTAATTAATAAAATTTTCTTTTCAGAAAAAATGGGTACGTATTTCCACAATGAATGGCCATGTGGGGTGGCTCAGCCTACAGGGTTAGTGTGAGTGTGTGTGTATTTACGCATCATACCACCGCTTATCACCATTGACAACAATGCCGGTCACACATACGTGTGCCGGCAACAACTACAACGGTTTGGTGCCGCTCCAACGAGCAGAACGTCGCCGTCGCAGCTGGTTTAAAAAAAAAAAAAAAAAAACACATACACAGCAACAATAAATGTGTGAACGTCATCTTCATACCATTTGTATGAAGATTGAGAAACAGGTAATTATATTCTTTATATTCTTACTATTAGGGCAAATGTTTATTTAATTTTCTTTTCCTTTCAGGTAAATTCAAGATTCGCGTTCGTGAAGTACCATTTGGGGAAATATCTGTTTTTTTCTTATTTATTGCGCAATTGACGTGCGACGACAACAAGAAATGATCGCCATTCAATTCACAATGGACAATCTGTCTTTGCCTGTGGCGGCGTTAATAGAGGAATGCTCTTCGGTGTTGTGTTCCCCAGGTAGGTTTTGTGTGTGAAAAACTTGAACGTGAAAAATATACAAATAAGAAACAAAGATTCTTGTGAGCAAAGATTTGCGGTGGCCACTAAATACACTTAATTGTGCACAAAAGAAAAAAATAAGGAATGAAAACGAAAAGTGAAAACAACGAACATAAAGAAATATGACATTCTTGAATACATGGTTAAAAAAGGGCTGAATGAATGAGTCATATAAAAATTGTGCAAGGTTCGTAATTCTTCCCCCCACAAAAAAAAACTTGTTATCGTTGTTAAAATTTGTGCATTGTGTCTCAGGTAATAGTGGAAATCTTTGCGTTGTGGATAAACCAACAACAATCGTGTGGCTCTGTCCAAATGGTGGTAGTTTGGAGTGATTATGCGTTTTTTCATGTTTATGTGTTGTTTATGTTTATTTGTTTTGTCTATGACTGGAATTTTTGTTTACGATTGTGTTGTTGTATTCTAGAGACGACTCTTTTACGAAAATAGGAAAATGAAAAACAATTTCTTGGTGAAATGTTCCTTTATGAATATTTTAATTTTTACAGAAAGATAATTTATCGCCAGTTCATACAATTTTACAAATTTATTTTGCGTCAAAACAAAACATTTGTATTTTCTGTGCCAAACTAATTTATGTTTTTGTGTTTTTATTTCAGTATTTTTTTCCCAATTGAATGCTATGAAAGTGCTACAATGAATCTGCCAGCATGAAGGAACAGTTTTTCGTGACCTCATCGACTTTTTTACATCACCACACAACAACGTTCCCCTGTGGATCATAAACCTTCAGGTAAGTCTTGTTTACTTTTTATTTTTGTGAGTTAGAAATATTGCGGGAAATGCAAGGAGAAATAAAAAATACTATTAAAAACATTTTGCCAATAAAAAAGATGCGTGGAGCATTTAGTTTTAGGCAACAATTACGTGGCGTAATTGTTTGAAAAAAAAATTACATAGAGTAGCCGAATGTTAAAAAAAAAATAAAAGAAGCAATTATGTTCAAAAAAATACGCGAAGTAGTTGCTTGTTGTGGAATGAGGTTGATTTAAAGGTGTTTTGGAATTCAGGTATTCCATCTCTATAATTGATTTATAATATTTTGCTAACGTTCACCGAAAGGAATAATTTGTAAATTATTCTATTTTTTTAACTAGATTGTACAATTGGCATTCAGAATCATTCATGGGCTCTCGGGTAATAGAAGAAATATAAAAAAAAATAATCTCATTTAAGAATTATTTGAGTTGTTGATCATAAAAATAAGGGTTTGCTGGAGTTGGACATATCTTTCAGTAGCTCAACGTGGGGAACTCCCACACCCTGAAGTCTCATTAGCCGGGCATTCAATTCTGTGCTAAATTAGAATATAAGACATTGGTCGTTAGATAAAACATTTACTTTCTTTTGCATAATTGTAAGCGAGATAATAATCTCTAAGCATAAATAATCAAAGTCGGAATAATACCTATATAAAAAGGGGACTGTCCACAGCACAAAAAAATTTATGGTATAAATAAAATGAGTCAATAAACTCCAGATATAATTACAAATAGTCATATAGTTTGATAAAATTGGACGTTCACGACACAAAATTATAAATCTATATTGCACTATTATTATATCACAGATTTATTGCACACTTCCTACACCTTAATATCTTTAGCATGATAATTACCAAGGGGTTTTCCCTGCAGAGTCTCCAACTCATACATGTTATTACCTATGGGTTTAACAATTCTGCATTTTAGGAATTTCTTACAAAATTTGGCATTTACGTTATTTTTGAAATCAGAGAGCATATGATTCCGTCTATAAACCTCTTGTCCAGGTAGGAACTTGACAAGTCTGGCTCTTTTATCATAACGTTTTGCACTATTTTCGTACGCGTTATGTAGATTCTTTTGGACCTTTTCTCTCATCAGCTTTAATTTGTCGGTTTTATTCATTTGCAAAATTTGATGGTCAGTTAATGATTGGAGCCGCCTAGCTAATTTGTAATCTGTTCCGCTCGTAAACATATTATAGCCAAACAATGCAAAGAAAGGATTCACCCCGGTTGCTGAGTGAACTGAAGTACGCAAAGCCTGTTCAATTTCAGAAAGATACAGATCCCAATCACGGTGATCCGACTGAACATAGGTCCTTATCGCCGCCAGTACAGACTGGTTTACTCGCTCTGACGCGTTTGATTGGGGAGAATAGTAAGCCGTTGTTATGTGATTGATTTTGTATCTTTTGATCATTTCTTCGAACATTTTCGACACAAACTGCTTCCCATTATCACTATGTATTATTTCTGGCACTCCGAATGTATGAAATACTTGATCTTCCAGAAATTTTATGACGTTTTCGGCCGTTGCTTCCTTCATTGCATGCAGGAAAATAAATTTTGTAAAATGGTCCATTACTATAAATATGTAGGAGTTTCCTTTCTTTGATCTAGGGTATTTGCCTAGGAAATCAATATACAGCTTCTGAAATGGTCTGTCGGTCACTACTTCATTTCCAATTGTAGGACGCATATTTTGATTGGATGGTTTTGTTTCCTTGCAAATCTGGCAGTTATTTACATATTGCTTGACTTGGGATATCATTTTTGGCCAATAATAAAATGTTTTTAAGCGGTTTAGGGTTTTGTATATGCCATCGTGGACAGCTTCCGTAAAGTTATGCGATTTTTCGATTAGTGCGTATGTTATTTCCTGCGGTATCCAAAGCTTCCACTCAAATTCCGTAATGTCTGGATCGCAATTCTTAGTTCTTTTATAGACTTTTTCATTTTCTATGCGGAGATCTGGTAACTTTTCTTTATTTTGCTTTATGGTGTTTAACAACTCGACATATTCCTCACTTTCAAATGCTGTGGTCTCGAAATCTAAGAGTTCTTCCTCACTAATCTCTTCAATTACGACATCAGAGTCAACCGGCATCCTTGATAAAGTATCCGCCACTACATTTTCTGAACCTTTACGGTGTTCAATGGTGAAGTCATATGCTTGGAGCTGTAAGGACCAACGAGCTAGTCGTCCGCTCAAGTCCTTTAATGACATAAGCCATTTAAGACTGGCGTGATCCGTAATGATCGTAAATTCCATCAGTTCGACATATGGTCGAAATCTCTTCACCGCTAATACTGCTGCCAAGCATTCTTTTTCCGTCACAGAATAATTTCTCTGGGTAGAATTTAATTTCTGTGAATAGAAAGCAATGGGATTTTCTCCGCCGTCGTCATCCTTCTGGAATAATACCGCACCGATTCCGTATTCCGATGCGTCACATTGGATAAAAAACTCCCGTCGGAAATCTGGGTGACGGAGCACTGGTGCTGATGTAAGGGCTTTCTTTAAATTTTTGAAAGATTCCATAGCCTCGGAATTTATATTGAACTTTTGTCCTTTTTTGAGGGTATCGGTTAGAGATGCAGATATTGACGCGAAGTTCTTAATGAACCTGCGATACCATCCGGCGGTTCCTAAGAAGCTTCTTACTTCTCGTGGACTTCTGGGTACAGGTATATTCAGGATCGCACTGATTTTATCCGGATCAGTCTTCAAACATCCATTTCCAATGATAAAGCCGAGATATTTCAGTTCGCGAAAACAAAATAAAGATTTTTTTATGCCGATCGTAAGATTTGCTTTTCTCAGGCAATCGGCCACTTCGCTCAACAGTCTTAAATGATTGTCGAAGTCATCCGCAATAATTAGAAGATCATCCAAGTAAATGAATACGTTGGACTTTAATCTACCAGGAATAACCTTATCCATTAGACGGCAAAGACGTTGCGCCGCATTACAAAGTCCAAACGGCATTACTCTAAACTGATATAGAGGGCGACCTGGTACTGTAAAAGCTGTATATGGTCTGGCTTCTTCTTCGAGCTCAATTTGCCAGAACGCATATTTCAGGTCGACGCTGCTAATATAGTGCGTTTGGTCGATTCTGCTCAATATCCCATCAATATTCTGCAAAGGATACGCATCCTTTATAGTAAGCGCATTTAATTTTCGAGCGTCTAGACAAAATCTGTTTTTCCCGGGTTTTCGAACCACCGTTGTTCTATTACTCCATGGGGAGTCACTCTCCTCAATCACCTTTAGAGCGAGCATGTTGTCTATCTCCTTATACACAATATCCTGCACGGCCGGCGATAATGGATAATGCTTATCCTTTACAGGATTTGCGCCTTCAATTAACTTTATGGCATGTTTTTCTAGACTTGTGCATCCTAATCCTTTCTCCTCGAATGTGTAAAATTTGCTTACAACTTCCGACAACCTGATTTTTTGGTCTTTAGTTAGGTCATGCATGTTGGCATTTGCGTTTTTGGATTCCCCATGAATTTTTATTTGGAGGTCTAAATTGACTTCTT